TTCACGCTTCCGGACTCACCGCAGCAAAATGGGATTGCTGAGCGCCGCATTGGCATGGTCATGGACGTCGCCCGTTCATCCATGATGATTGCGGCTGCCCCCCATTTTCTGTGGCCGTTTGCGGTAAGGTACGCGGCGCATCAGATCAACCTTCACCCCAGGGTCTCCAGGCCGGAAAAACTCCCCAGCTCTGCTGTGGACGGGGAAGGTTGGCGATGCGTCAGCGTTCCGGGTCTGAGGATCTCGGGCGTTTGTCCGCGACTTGTCTGCGGACAAGCTGTCCCTTGCGTCTTCCTGGGGTTCCCCCCCGACGCGCCTGGGTGGCAGTTCTACCACCCCACCTCTCGCCGTGTTCTGTCCTCCTAGGACGCCACGTTCGACGAGTCGGTCCCCTACTACCGCCTCTTCCCCTACCGCACTCCGTCCCTCCCCCCGCCCCCACTCTTCCTTGTACCAAGTCCCCCCCAGGTAGACCCCCTCCCCCCTCAGGGTCTTGCCCCTTCAGGTGTGTCCCAGGTACACGCGGTCGAGCCTGTCGAGGTCACTGGTGACTCTGGTGCTGCTGAGGGTGCTGAGCCTGGGGGTGCTGAGCCTTGGGGTGCTGAGCCTGGGGGTTCTGGACCTGGGGGTGCTGAGCCTGGAGGTGCGGAGCCTAGGGGGGCTGAGCCTGGGGGTGCTGAGCCTGGGGATGCTGAGCCTGGGGGTGCTGAGCCTGGAGGTACTGGGCTTGGAGGTTCTCCGGGTGCTTTGTCTCTGCGGGAGCCACTCTCTCCAGGGGAGCTGCGCGAGTGGTTTGCCCGGCGCTGGAGGCGTGCTGCTGGTGCTGGAGGTTCTTTGCCTACTGAGGGTGCTGCTGTCGCGGGTCCCGGAGGTGCTCGTACTGGGAGTGCTGGAGCTACTGGGCCTGCAGGTTCGACTGGAGCTGGTGCCGCTGAGGGTGTTGACGCTGAGACTACCACTGGCGGTCCTGCTGGTGGTGCTCCTGGTTCTGCTGGAGCGGGTGCTCCTGCTGGGGGTTCTGGTGCTGTCCCTGCTGTTTCTGGCGTCGCCACGCGGCCTCGACCGTACTTCGTCCCACTCCTGCAGCAGGTTCTTGGTCTTCCACCTTCTACTGGTCCTCCTCCTCCCTTGGAGGGTCCCCAGTCTGTCTCGTCACAGCCACAGCTACATCCTGCCTCCCCTTTGCCTGTTCCTTCTCCCTACGCTGGTCCTACTGGAGGTCTTACTGAGCGTCGTGAGCCTGCGTCTCGTCCTACGTCGCCTGTTCGTGCTGCCCGCACTAGTGGTCGCAGTTCGCGTCAGCGTCCTCCGCCTGTCCCCGGCACGCACCGGATGTCTCTCCGTCCATCTTCTACTCCTCTGCGTGCCCCTTTGCCTTCTCCTCCTGCGTTCTCTCTTCCTGCTCTTGCCGACCCTGAGTCGGACTCTCTTCGTGCTACCAGTCCTACTGTCACGCGTCTCCTTGCTACTGCCGTCACTGACCCTTCTCTTGAGTCTTCTGCTGCGTCTGCCCTTGTTGCTCAGCTCATCGACTTTGCTGCTCGCTGTCGCCTAGACTACGCTGCTAGTCTTGTCGCTGAGTCTGAGTCTGTCTGTCCTCCGTCTGTCGGGGGTGAGTGTGCCCTTGGCACGGACGTCCTTGAGGACAGGCAGGAGGAGTTCCAATGTCTGGCAGCTGCTTCACCTCATCTCGTGTCCGTACTGCTTACCCCTGAGGGAGACCCGGATGCACTTGACATCCCGACTCCGCGCTCTTACGCGGAGGCGATAGAGGGTCCCTACTCCTATCAGTGGCAGGCAGCTATGGATGCAGAGATGGCTTCCTGGAAGTCCACAGGCACCTACGTTGACGCTGTCCCCCCTCTTGGGGCGAACATCGTCAGTGGCATGTGGATCTTCAGGGTGAAGCGGCCGCCGGGTTCTCCGCCTGCCTTCAAGGCGCGTTACGTGGCTCGTGGCTTCAGTCAGCGGCAGGGAGTTGACTACTTTCAGACCTTCTCCCCCACCCCGAAGATGACCACTCTTCGGGTACTGCTGCATGTTGCTGCTCACCGTAACTACGAGCTGCACTCTCTCGACTACAGCACAGCTTTCTTGCAGGGCAGCATGCACGAGGAGATCTGGCTGCGCCGCCCACCTGGCTTCACTGGGTCTTTCCCTCCTGGTACCCAGTGGAGTCTTCGGCGTCCAGTCTACGGTCTCCGCCAGGCGCCACGTGAGTGGCACGACACACTGAGGACTACGCTTGCGGCTCTTGGGTTTGCTCCTTCTACTGCCGACCCGTCGCTGTTTCTGCGCACCGACACCTCTCTGCCGCCGTTCTACATCCTCGTGTACGTGGACGACTTAGTCTTTGCCACAGCTGACACTACTGGACTCGCCTATGTGAAGTCTGAGCTGCAGAAGAGACACACGTGCACAGACCTGGGTGAACTGCGCAGCTACCTTGGCTTGCAGATCACCCGGGACAGAGCACGCCGCACCATTACCCTGACTCAATCACACATGGTGCAGCAGGTCCTTCAGCGCTTCGGCTTCACGTACTCCTCGCCTCAGGCCACTCCTCTGCCTACTCGCCACTCGCTCTCAGCTCTGCCTTTGGATGAGTCCGTAGAGTCGAGTGGCCCGTACCCAGAGCTTGTTGGCTGCCTCATGTACCTGATGAGCTGCACACGACCTGACCTTGCATACCCTCTTAGCATTCTTGCCCGCTATGTTGCTCCTGGGAGACACCGACCAGAGCACATGGCTGCAGCGAAGAGGGTGTTGCGCTACTTGTGCAGTACGTCGGGCATGGGGCTAGTGCTTGGATGGCGCAGTCCAGTGGTCCTCACTGGACACGCGGACGCTTCTTGGGCTGACGACCAGGCTACGCATCGGTCGTCACAGGGTTGCACTTTCAGTCTTGGTTCTGGCTCTGTCTCGTGGCGGGCTACTCGCTCGTCTTCTGTTCTCGGCTCCAGTTGTGAGGCTGAGATCTACGCCGGGGCCATGGCTGCACAGGAGCTTCGCTGGCTCACCTACCTGCTGAACGACCTTGGAGAGCTGCCTCGTTCTCCTCCAGTTCTGTACGTAGACAACAAGGCCATGCTGGCCTTGTGTCGAGAGCAGCGACTGGAGCACAGAACGAAGCACATTGCTCGCCGCTACTTCCTTGCTCGTGAGCTACAGCAGCGTGGACAGTTGCGGCTTGCGTACGTGGCCTCTGAGGCCAACACTGCTGATGTTTTCACCAAGGCACTTGCGCCTTGTGATCATCAGCGCTTCTGCACTCAGCTGGGTCTTGTCTCTGTCTTGCCTCACTTGCTCACCTCTTGACCTTGCCTGTACTATTACATATATATATACCTACTCTTGCTTGTCTAGCGTTATATATATATGTGTACTCTTGCATGTGAACTGGCCTTGTGGCCTTGAACTTGTGCTCAGAATGTGTGGTGACTTTGTGATCCACCCTGAGCTTTGCTTTGCTTTGCTTGACTGGCCTTGTGACCCCCTGTTCTCCCCCACTTTGCCTATGGGGGTGTGTCAGAACATTATAACTTATGCTGTTGTGTAGGCTATAGTGGGGTATCCCATAGGTGATACAACCCAATTAGGGTTTCCTATATGTATTCACTTCATTCATAGTTCATTCATTCTCGTTCTACTTCTCTCAATGAAGTGATGTACTAACTTTATAATCACCCCCCATGTCTGCGCAGGTGGAGGGTAAACTTGGGCCTGAAACCAAGCTATCGGGAGGATGTGGCCGTCCATCACCGTCGATCGGCCTTTGATCGGGGGATACTGTGGCTGCCACAGTGTCAGCTTCCCGGTTATCTTTTCCAGAGCCTTGTCCCAAGTCGGTTTGCAGTTGCCACTTGCCGTAATCCAGACCCTCTAAAGTCTTTCCGCTTCGTCCGCTCCTGCCCATTTGAATCTATTTGTGCGCTAAGACTTTTTCCCAAGGTTTGCTCCCAGCGGGAGGACCATCGACTTCTCTCTGTTTGTTGCCAACCCCGAGGTACTTTCAAACTCTCCCAGCAGCCTCTCCGCCGTAGCAATTTGCTGTTTTCCGTGCAGCAGGAAGGTGTTGTCATCTGCGTAGCCAACGTACGCCAATCTCTGTCCCACGCAACTGGTAAGTATGATTCCAAGCTTCTTTTTCTCCACCTTCTGCACCAACGGTTCCACCGAGTATATGTGTTTACTGTACATGCCAAGAAATTTCAATCTGATCGGGGTGAAAATCGAGTCTGATCGAGTTGGTGCGATCAGTTGATAGCAATCAGCTGATTGCTCCCGATTGCCTGAAATTGGCTTCCAGGCTTCCTGGAAGTTCTTGATCGCGTGTGATCAAGGCGATCAGACTCGATTGGGCCCACGTCCTGACTGAGCGAAAAATGGGCAATAACAGTGCGCCAGAAGAGACGTAGCTGCGCTGGGAGCGTATAAGTTCAGTAACAGTGCGTGACAAACTGGAAACCCTATCTGATGGAGAGGAGAAGAGTGACGACGAGACGAGGCGGTTTCCTTGTCCTCCACAACCACACCTTCATGATTCACGTGCTTATCTCGCTTCGCTATCTCCTTTCTCACTAGTTTCGACCACTCGATATCCATCGTCCCTCACTTGCCGCGTCAGCTCGAATCTATCCCCTCAGGTCTTGCACGTCGATTGTCCTTCCATTAGCTGGCGCCAACGAATGCCATCTCGTCTGCTCTGTCCTTTTTAGGCATTCCTGCGCTTCGCTGAACTCAATCTCGCACCTCCGCCATGGAGCAGATCGGCGTCCCACTTGGCTTGTACATCCAGACTGATTCGCTGTCGCGTGCCCAATTCCTTCGGGAATTCTCGAAGATTTACCTACGAGTTGTTGGGTCAGCCCGTCGTCGTCATTCTTTCGGCAAATTCCGCCATTTTGGAAGAGTTGCGCTCGATTCTTTCTTGAAATCCTACAGCTGCGTTCCGTCTCTACCGCCGGTCGTCATCAATGCCACGAACCATGTCGACATCAATGCCCCCGTCAGCATTTAGCACTGACGATAAGTCGTGCTCCTCCTTCTCCCCCCCTTCCTCCTCCACTTCCTCCCGCTCCTCCTCTTTCACGTCCTCCTCCTCTTCCGGCCGGTTGAGAGGGCCTACTACTACCATGGCCTCCCCCTCGCCGGTCAAAGCGACGACTGAGACGACGGCGTCGCCTGCAGCGCCGTACGACGCCGCGGTGTGCGACTGCCCGCTGCGTCGCCACAACGTGAGAGTCATTGGGACCGGCAAGACGACGCTGCTGCTGTCGCACGGCTTCGGGACCAACCAAAAGGTCGCAACTCGCGCCCCTACTTCTCCCTTTCCTGTCGCCTCATTGAACCGCTCTCGCATGCTTACAAACAAACATCGTCTCGCCTGCTTTTCCTTCAGCTAAGGTATCCTGAAGGCAGCCGCGTCCGTAAAGTTCTTAGTAGGAAACTGATCCTCAACTTGAAGCTCCCCTTGATACTCTCAAACTGTTTCCGGCAGATCTGGGACGGCGTGTTATCCCACCTGGATCTGCAGCACTCCTTCCGCGTGGTGCTGTGGGACCTCATGGGCGCCTTCAGCACGCCCGCGGAGTCGTACGACTTCCAGCGCTACGGCTCGCTGTGCTCGCACGCGGACGACCTGCTCGAGGTGCTGGAGGAGCTGCGGGAGCAGGGGAGGCTGGGCGACGGCGGCGGCGCAGAGGACGACGACGACGATGACGTGGTGTGCGTGGGGCACAGCGTGAGCGGCATGGTGTCGCTGCTCGCGAGTCTTGAGAGGCCCAGCGCGTTCCGACGGCTGCTCTTGCTTGGGTCCTCGCCCAGGTGCGCGGTGGTGCACGGCGGTGGTGTGGGATGATGATGATGGAGCCGCTAGGCTTCGCTTTGCTTGTCGTCTCCTGGCGCTGGGGCATTACTCAATAGCCCGCAGCTCGCTTCACACGTTCCCTAATCAACGACCATCATGATCTCCCTTTCTTCCCCTCCCTCGTCCTTCTCCCTCCCCTCCCCATGCCCCCCACCACCAGATACCTCAATGATCCACCCACAGGCTACATTGGCGGGTTCAACCCCCCAGACCTGGACCACATCTTCCTGGCAGTGCGGGAGAACTACATAGCATGGGTGTCGGGCTTTGCGCCGCTCATGGTGGGGCGGGACATCAGCAGCAGGGAGGTGCGGGAATTCAGTGAGACCATGCTGCAAGTGCGTCCGGATATCGCCCTCAGCACGCTCCGAACGGCTTTTCAGTCCGACTTCCGGCACCTGCTGGGACGGGTGCGTTGCGTTGCGTTGCCCTGCTGGTGGTTGTCGAGCGGGTGGGGTGGGGTGACGGGCACAGGAGGACGAAACGAGGCGAGCGAATGGTGGAAGGGGAATGACGGGTTGTAAGTTAGAGTGATGACATGCTTTTCTTGGGGAGTCCTTTCCTCGCTTGCTCTCCTTGCAGCACCGAACCGCCATGTTCACATCACATCCCCGAGTTGCATCATTCATGTTCCAACTGACGTGTTCCTGCTCTTCTGTTGCTCTCCTCCCCAGGTGTCATGCCCAGTGACGGTTCTATCCACCGGAGCTGACGCGGCAGTGCCAGTGCAAGTGAGTGAGTACCTGAGGGAGGCGATACCTGGCGCGTGCATGGAGGTGCTACCCACGCAGGGCCATCTCCCCCACCTCACCCACCCTGCTGTTGTCGCCCACGCCATCCAACGCCACGCTTCTGTGCCGCAGTGAAGCGCACTGCACCGCGCAGCACCATACCGGAGAGTACTCTGTAGCGGCGGCAGAAGCGCAGCAAAAGAGGTTGATGGGGGCAAAGGTTGTGCGAGGGTGGTTCACGTGTGGTACTCTCAACCCAAATTAACCGTACGAACGATATCGCCCTGGTGTAGGGCCCCGGGGATAGAGGAGAGCTTGTGGCTGCAGAGCTGGGGCATGGGATGGGGCTAACAGAATCCCAATATCCTGCTGCATGCACCCATTGCAGGCGGTGCAGTAAGCATATTCATGTATGGTACCTTGAAAATAGTGAGATCATATACGGTATCTAAATCTACTGAAACTTTAAACCAATAAAATGGTGACCATACCCAACTCGCCAAGCTGCCAAGAGAGAGAAAAAACAAGTGCTGAGGTGTCACTTAAAGCCCTGCCACAGCTACTGCCCGTCCATTCGCATGGCTTGCATCTGGTGCACAATTACCAGGAGCCCCTGCAACATCTCCAGCAACAGCATCAATGCCACCAGCAGCAGCCCCGGCCCCTGCTCTCTCTGCCCCTACTTCTCCTTTCTCACATGCCCTCAGCTGCCCCACCAGATCCAGTAGCCACGGCACAGTCAGCTTGTACTCCTTATTGAGTTTCTCTCTAATGTGCGGGTGCCGTGAGAACACAGGCCCCAGCATGCGGTGCAGGTGGGCTCGTACCATGCGCATGGGCACAGGATGCGAGTCGCACAGAGTCAAGTATTCCTGTGCGAGGGTGATTCGGTCGATGGTTAGATGGCCCCTGCTGCTTGATTCGCCTGAGGCTGCTGCTGCTGCTAGCAGCCGCTGCACTTCAGCTGCTGCTTCCGATCTCACTGGCGCTGCTGCTTCTGTCGCTGCAGATTCTGTTGCTGCTGCTTCTGTTGCTGCTGCTTCTGCGTCTGTTGCTACTGGTGCTTCAGTTGCTGCTGCTTCCGCCACTACTGCTTGCACTCCACCCTCCTCTCCCCCATTTCCCTGCCCTCTCTCCACCTCATCATCCACCCGATACCCTCCAAACAACGCTGGATTCTCCAGCAAGCTCTCAGCACTGAGCACCCCATCACACCCTGTCGCTTCCAAACACTCTACCACGTCCGCCAGATCCCTAATATTCCCATTCGCAATCACCGGAATTGACACCGACTCCTTCACGCGCCGGATCATCTCCCAATCCGCGCGCACCTTCTTCCCGTCCTTCTGCTCGCGCGTGCGCCCGTGCACGGCGAGCAGGTAGCACCCCGCGGCCTCCAGCATGCGCGCGTACGCGATGGTGCGCGCGAGGTCCGGGAAGATGCGGATCTTGCAGGAGACGGGCGCGGGGAGGCGCGCGGCGGAGAGCGCGGAGACGAGGGACTCGACTAGCGGGAGGTCGTCCATGAGGAACGCGCCGTAGCGGCCGCGACGCGCGATGCGCTGCGGGCAGCTGCGGGGAGGGAAAGGAGAGGGGAGGAGAGGGGGAGAGACGTGGGCGGAGCGAGAGGGGCAGGGGGGGCGGGAAGGAGGGGGGGGGTTGGAGGGGGGGTTTGGTGGTTGAGATGGAGACGGGGAAAAATGAGAGGGGGGAAATGGGGGGGGGGGGAGAGGGCGGAGAAAATGGACGAGGAATGTTCAGGGGGATGAACCATGAGCAGCTGAAGATGCGAGGGAGAGGGGAAATGGGAGAGGGCAGAGGAGCGCGCCCATGAAATGGACGGCGAGAGCGGAGAGGATGTGAGGCTTCAGTGAAAGGATCCAACGGTCTCTCATCACATCGCTGACCGCTATGTGTTCATCAATCGGGATGCGAGAGCAGATTATCTCACCCGAAGTTAATATCGACATAGTCACAATCTGCCGCGACGAGAGATGCGGCCTTCACTAGAGTGTCGGGGTTGTTGGCGCAGAACTGCACGAAGAGAGGGCGATCCTCCTAAAAGGGAGAGACGAACAAAAATGGGGGGGAAGAGGGGGGGGGGGAGCGAGAGAGGAGAAAGCAGGTTTAGCAAAGTGCGTTACCCCATAAAGATGTATGATAATCACTTATTCCGTACGGGCCTGCTCTTGAGGTGTGCCATACAGCGCAAATCATAAGAGGCACGGCGAGGAAAGGAACCCGAAGACAGGTGAACACCAGCAGCGGAGCACAGGGGGATGGGGGGGAAGTGGGGGCGGGAGGGGGTGGAGGAAACGATGTTGCAACGAAGGAGAACAAGAATAAAGCTATCTCTTTCCCTTCATAACATCGCAGCCCGTCTCAACCCCTCCCTAACCGTTCCTACTTCCTTCCCTTCTTTCTCAAATTCGGCTACTCCCTCCCCTCACTCTCATCCTCCCCCCTGACGCTCCCTACCCCTCCCCTTTCCCTCCCCTCTCCCTCCCCTTTCCCTCCCCGTCCAAGCTCACCGAGCACGTGGTGAATTCCCGCCGGTACTTGTGATCCTCCACGAACAGACGGCTGTGGAACATCGGCGTGTACGCGCCCTGCGCGCCGTACTTGGCGCAGAGTCGGCGGAACGGCAGCTCCGATTGGTCCACCATCGGCGCCACCAGCAGCCGCGGAGACCCCAGCCGCCGGAAGTGCGCCCACGCCGCCTCCACGTGCGGCGGCGGCACGTACGCGGGGATGGCTGCGGCTGGTGCGGAGGTTGGTACACCGGCTGGTGTACTCACTGCCGCAGCGGGGGCGGCTGCAGCTGCGGCGGATGTTGCAGCGGCCGTTGCGTTGGGGCCGTCTGCACCCGCGGGGACGGGGCCGCCGCCGTCTGGCGCATCAGACGCGGCGCCAGCGACGCGCTGTTTCTTGAACGGCGCAGAGGTCCCCGGACTTGAATCCTGGGGTTGGTCGCAAACGATTGGTTCGGCATTTGCTGAGTGTGGCGGCACGGTCGCGGGAATTTCGTCTGATAGGTTAACTCCTTCGGGGGGACGGGCGTCGGAGATGATTGTCGGGGGTGCCATGGCTGCAGCAGGGGAGGAGGGACGCGAAGAGTGCGCAGTAGCTTCTGGCGCTACGGCGCACGCGCGACGCGATCGGAAGTGACGGTATCCGGTTTGAAGAAAAGAGAGACACGGGAAGGTGTAGTCAGCTTGTAGTGCGCACTGGGATGATTTGTTGGATATGAACTGGTTTCCTCTGTTAGATGATAACGCGAGGGCGTTGGCAGCGGCGGTGACAGCGCCGGCAATGGTGGTAGGGGTTCGCGGGTAAAGGACCCGCGGAGCAAGCGCGCGCGCTATCGCGGAGGGCGTTAAGGGAGACGTGGAAGCCACGCCAACGAGAGGCTTGCAGATGGTTGGCATAGGTGATTGTGTTTTCCGGGGAAACGTTATACCGCCGTGTTTGAGTACCACGAGAGTGAACACTAGCAGGCGACAATGAATTGCCGGGGGGGAGGCACCAGCGAGAATGCTAGACTTGGTGATGGAACCCCCAGGGTCCAACAGGAGAGTCGAGCCAGGCCCGGGTCATGAGGAGTGAGAAGAAAGTAAGTTGTAGGCTACTCTAAGCTCTATACAGGATGCATTTCCGTAGCGTTTCGTTGATTGATTGGGAAATTATACGCGCAGTCACAATTTAGGCCGTATTATCACGTTTGGTCACGGGGTTATCACGGACAGTCACAGTACAGTACTTCGCTATCACGTGTGATCACAGCGCTATCACGCGTGGTCACACCTCGCCCCGCAGGGTTATCACGTTTGGTCACTCGTTGAAACGCCCGCCAAAAAGTCGAAACTCTCAAATCTACTGTACAGATTCGGGTACTATTATCTCGCGCGCGTTTTGTCTGTAGTGAAAAACGTGATATGACTGTCGAAATATACTCGGACCTTGTTAGGGACCGATGCAGTTTAATGCACAGTCCGCATGTTGCAGTGAATGTCAGTAGAGCTACACTGTGAGATCCCCGATCGATCCTAGGGGGGGTTACAAGCGCGTTTGCCTGGGGGGTTATGGGCGCACTGACCCGCTACTGAATCAAGCCCTTTTATCCCAATGGTCTAGTGGTTGGGATTCTGACATGGTATCAGAGCGGTCTCGGGTTCGATTCCCGGTGTATGCACATGTAGGCCGGTGCCGCTGTGCTTAGTCCTGGGCCTCCCAGTGTGGGGGGGTGTCAGTAGAGCTACACTGTGAGATCCCCGATCGATCCTAGGGGGGGTTACAGGCGCGTTTGCCTAGGGGGTTATGGGCGCACTGACCCGCTACTGAATCAAGCCCTTTTATCCCAATGGTCTAGTGGTTGGGATTCTGACAGTGAATATAAGCGATCAATAACAGTTTCGATTATACATTTAGTTTAGGGTGTGCATTTTATCCATAAAACAAAGACATGGGTTTAGGTCGAATGATTTAAAAAGTGAGAACATTGAAATCATTCGAAAACCATACAACAATCTGTGGCATATGATTCTTGAGTGGGGACTACAAATTTGAGTCCCCACTCAAGAATCATATGCCACAGATTGTTGTATGGTTTTCGAATGATTTCAATGTTCTCACTATTTAAATCATTCGACCTAAACCCATGTCTTTGTTTTATGGATGAAATGCACACCCTAAACTAAATGTATAATCGAAACTGTTATTGATCGCTTATATTCACTGCAACATGCGGACTGTGCATTAAACTGCATCGGTCCCTAACAAGGTCCGAGTATATTTCGACAGTCACATCACGTTTTTCACTACAGACAAAACGCGAGCGAGATAATAGTACCCGAATCTGTACAGTAGATTTGAGAGTTTCGACTTTTTGGCGGGCGTTTCAACGAGTGACCAAACGTGATAACCCTGCGGGGCGAGGTGTGACCACGCGTGATAGCGCTGTGATCACACGTGATAGCGAAGTACTGTACTGTGACTGTCCGTGATAACCCCGTGACCAAACGTGATAATACGGCCTAAATTGTGACTGCGCGTATAATTTCCCTTAAACTGCATCGGTCCCTAACAAGGTCCGAGTATATTTCGACAGTCACATCACGTTTTTCACTACAGACAAAACGCGCGCGAGATAATAGTACCCGAATCTGTACAGTAGATTTGAGAGTTTCGACTTTTTGGCGGGCGTTTCAACGAGTGACCAAACGTGATAACCCTGCGGGGCGAGGTGTGACCACGCGTGATAGCGCTGTGATCACACGTGATAGCGAAGTACTGTACTGTGACTGTCCGTGATAACCCCGTGACCAAACGTGATAATACGGCCTAAATTGTGACTGCGCGTATAATTTCCCTGATTGATTTGGAGCACTCGTCAAACGTAAGGACGTGTCTCAAATGAGCGCGTCCACGAGGGTCCGACACGGACCCAACGGACCAGCTCTAGAACCAGCACTTGAACCAGCGACGGACTGGACCGGGATGCGGGTGCTATAGACCCGTTACAACAGTGCCACTGATGTGGTTGGCAGACCAGTCCGTGGCCAGTCCGAATTTTGTAGCAGATCCAAGTTTGAGCTGCGAAATTCTCTAATTTCGTTATTACGCGATCTACTGCATGGAAACATTTACCTCGCACAGAGGAAGGTAACTCGATTTTGGAATGCTCTTCGCAAAATCCCCATAGCCAATGACGCGACGTATCATGTGGACCAGTCCGTGTCTGCTCCACGCCTGGTCCGCGAAGTGGGTCCGTCGAACCAGAATTCCGGACCAGGCATGCACATTTTGGCAACGGACCGGTTCGGGGCGTACCAGTCATGTCTTCTACACGAGGGTTTTCGCCCAGCAAAACCCCGAGGGTTTCCGCCCAGCGCGCTGTGGGCGCAAGAGAGGGAGGTGGAGGGCAAACTCCAAGTTTGTTGGGGAAAATGACACTCGCTTGGGATCAAGGGAAAGTTCAGCGGCACGGGGGGGAGGTGGAAGGATGTGTGGTGCAAGTGGTATACGCGTTTGTAGAAGTTCGTTTTCCAAACCCTTCGGGCAATACGGCAGTTCAACCCAAGGAGAAACCGGCCCTAGGGTGAATTGGCCTCCCAAAGTTATAGCAATGGCTGGACAATACGGAAGTTATTTTCACCCTTCTCTCCTCCCTCGGATATCTCACCCCCGTTTGACCGGGATTGGATTGGACTATGTACTATCAGTACAAAGGGCATGACATGAAGACGACGAGACGTGTATAATTGAAACATGGGGGAGTATAATTGTGTACCGGTAACTATATGAGGTGGGGAATAAATGCAATGTTCAAAGATTTACGGTAGCAAGGCCAGCAATAGTTCTGGAGGTATCCAAAGAAATGTGAAGTCTGGCTTGTTCCCTTCCCATGTGCACTTGAAGTGCAGTGCTAGGTGGTTTGGGTGATTTATTGTCAGCTGGCTGCCATCAGCTCAATTTACCGTCAAACAACACAGGTACATCAGAATTGCACTCCACACAAACAATCTACAAGAGCAAACCAGCCTCCCCACATTTAACTCCTCTCCACGAGCAGAATTGGTCACCCTCGCCAGCCAAGCAGCCACCCTCTCCCTCCAACATCACTTCCACTCAAATTTCTGCTCTAGAACGGCATGGATCCGACAAAGTTGCCCGGGGGCGAGTAGTCGCACACCCACATGCCGCTGCCATCCGGGCACTGCGCAGAGCCACACCCCACATGAGTGGTGTCCCGCCACACCACCTGCGTGTAGTGCCCACACATCTTGCCCTCTGCACACCCCTCTGGAATGGGGCTGGGGGTCCAGTCCGCCTTCTCATCCACCCACGCCTGCACAGCCATGCGGTCCTCCTCAGGGGTGAGCCCTGCGGGTGTGCGCCAGTAGAGGTTCTGCCCAAGGCCTTCCGCGCCGCCATGCTCCATAGGGCACCCTCTGCCCGCCAGCTGGTTCGCCCAATCCTGCGCTACGGCTGCCACCCCGTCGTCCCATGCCAGGTCCGGCACCCCCGCCTCCTGCCGCGCCCTGTTGTGCACCTCCAGAATTGCTGCTGCGTCCACGCCGCCGCTGCTGCCGCTGCCATCGCCGTTGCTCGCGTCACCTCCGCCGTTGCTCGCGTCACCTCCATCACAATTCACGTCGAGTCGTCCATCTCCGCCCGGGCCGCTGTTATCGCTACCATTTTCGTTGTTGTCATCCCCGGCGTCACGGTCACTCCCGCGGTACTCCTCGTCATCATTATAGTAGTTAGCGCCGCCACGATTCATCCCGTAATTGCTCTCTTCCGCCAGCGCGAGTGACGACTCGTCGTCGCTCCTCGCCGCGTGTCGCGTCAGCGCCACGTCCTTCGCTGTCGCCATGCGGAACCCCACGTGCTGCTGTTGCGGCCGCTCGTTGCGCTGCAGCTGGTGGGACGAAGCGCCCCTTGAGGGATGCCGTTGTGCGCGGCCGCGCGTCGCATGAAGCGCTCCGCCCTGCGCCCTTCCACTAGTAGGAACGCGCCTTCCAGCGCCGCCGTTCCTGCCGCTAGTACCCTGCTCGCGAACCGTCCACTTGCCACTTCCGGGAGAATTGTGATGGCGAATCGTCACGTCGCTGCTGCTGGCCATGCGGAATGTGGCGCTAGTAGCGCTGCCGTCGGCTGCTGCGAGCCCGCTGTTGCGCGAACGACGTTGCGCCGGGCCGGTATGGATGGTTCGAGCTGTAGGACCAGCCGTATTGCGATTGGTCATTTGAGGTGCGTTTGCTTCGCCAGAGTGGAACTCATTCGGTGCCCATGCGTTTGAAGCGTGCTGATTTTCTTCCGCGGAGGCGTATGGGGCCACGGAATCGCCTCGAGATGCCATACTAGGCTCACGACCAGAGGCCTTCCATGTTACAGCATCGTCGTATGCCTCGGATGAAGACGGGCCGTAGTTGATGCCTGCGAGTCCGCGGCGGGATGATGCGCGAGAGTGAGCGGCGCACGTCCCGATGATGAGGAAGAGAACCAGCGGGATGAGGCGTCGGTTTCCCATCGTGGAACACGCGAGCAATCTAATATCTGAAGATCAACTGTTGGAAGCTGGTTTCTTGCAAGGAGCTGCTGGTAGGGTTGAATGGGACTAGGCACAGCTGAACTGATGCTTAGGGGAACTGCCGAATTCAAGTTCATATACGAACCTGCTTGGAGTCCGAAATGCGGCTCGGGAAGGTGGTTTGCAAGGAAGTGTCCGGTCGGGTCAGAAGAGAGATTACGGACCCCGTGCCGTTAGCGAGACGGGTAACGAAGGAGCAGCGGGGATGGGGAGGAACATGCGGGCTGTGATTGGTGGTCCAATTAAAGCTCGGGCTGTGATTGGCGGTTCGATTGGAGCTCGGGTTGTGATTGGTGGTGTCAGTCAAGTAAGTATTTGGATTGTGTTCATGAGTATTGTTATGCTGAAACGGCGCTGTAGTAATATTTCAGCTGTGTTGATTGTTGCTTGAACCAAATGAAACTCAATAGCGGAGTTTAATTTCCAGCTCGGCCCACACACCTGGACCCCAACACATTTCATGCATATCTCTAGGTTCCCAGATTTTCCACACCGAGTATCCTCGTTTCTTCCCCACCCATCCCGTCTGCTTCCTCGCTCAAAGCGGCTTTTGCGGCAATCATTGCTGGCTACATCCATGCATTCACTTGCGCATGGCTGCGCATGCGTCACCCCCTCGCAGCTGCAACCAAATCCTTTCGCGCTCTTGCCCCCTCGCCGCTCGGCGCCGCTGCTTCCGCGCGGAACCAGTGCGCGCGAGCTCCTCGTCTTGCGCAAGTCTTCCGCCGCTGTTGGGCTAAGTCGTCCTTCGAACGAGCATCGCGTATTCATGGTAATTTTTCAGTCGCGCGAGTTATTCTATCCTATGTTGACGCTTTCTTTCCACACACACATGTTTCTTTGCATCGTGTAAGGAAAAAACGTTGTGTACGACACACTCTCCCCTTTCTATCCTCCCCACATAAATCCCTCCAGGCCAACAGCAGCAGCAACGGTGGTACTGCTGAGACCGCACCTCCACAGCATTCCACCTCTCCCACCACAACCGCCACCGCCGACAGCAGCGGCATGCTTCCGTCATCCCCGCCTCCGCCCATTCTCATCTTCACCGTCCCCGCGTGCCGCTACTGCCGCCAAGCCAAGGCGCTGCTCGCCTCGAACGACCTCGCGTACACTGAATGCTCCGTCGCCCTGGACAACCCCGCTCCCGCTGCCCCCGCTGCTGCTGCTGCCGGAACTGCCGACGCTGCCGCTGCTGCTGCTGTGGTGTCGGCAGCGGAGGCGCGAGCGGCGCTGGCGGAGGCGTCAGGCATGCGAACAGTGCCTGTTATCTACGTTGGCGGGAGGCTGGTTGGCGGATTCGACGACCTGGAACAGGTGATGTGATGGCGACGAGTGGTTGTGGGAGAGGGAGAGAGGGAATGATGTTTGAAAGGTCTCAAAACTACATGCAGTTGCCATGCTATTCATGTCCCCCCAACCTCCTCTCCCGCTCCTTTCCCTCTGCCTGAACACATAATTTCATTGCCCTACTGGTCAGCCTGTTTTTCCAGTTCAATCAATCCACAATGGCACATCCCTAACTTCCCTCTTGCCATGTTTGCTTGTCCCTCCTCTCCTCACCCTCTTCCCCCCGTCCTCACTCTCTCTCCCTCGCACTCCCCCTTCCTTGCTTCCCCTTTTTCGTTCTCTCTCTCTCTGTATCCCTCTCGCACACACAGCTTGTGACCAGCAACAAGCTACAGGATATCCTTGCCTCCCCCCCTGACCCACTCCCGTCGGCCCTCATTCCTCTGCTCAGCCTCAAGCCTGCTGCACCGAGCAGTGCAGACGCAGAAGCAGCAGCAGGGGCAGCAGCAGCGGCAGGGGCAGCAGGAGGTGCGGAAGGAGTGGTGGAGGAGTGGCCTGGATTGAGTCGGAAACTGGTAGCAGTGTTTGAAAAGATGGCAGCAGGGGAGGCGGAGGGAGGGGTGAGGCGAGAGGAGGTGAAGGAGGGCCTGTTGGGAGCACACAAGAGCGTTGTGTCTGGTGCTGCCATTGTTGCATGGCTCAAAGCGAACATGCCTCCTTCAGAAAACGCAGAGGGAGATGGTGAAGCAGTATTGGTGGGGCTGGCAGAGAAACTGGCAGCAGCAGATCTCATTCACCACATCACCTACTCACAGCCCTTCACCAACAAACCCAATGTTTTCTTCCGCCTCCTGCCCGACGAGCTGCCCAAAAGCACCGCGCTTAACGCGCGCCCGATCTTCCTCCGGCCTGCGCGGGCGGCGTCAGTTGTTGCTAGTGGGCTGCGGGCGGCAACTGTGGGGATGTACGAGGAGGCACTGTCACTGGATGGGGGTGGCGTGAGCTACAAGCGTCTGGCGGCGTCGGATGCATTCAAGGAGTATGTGTCGGCCGCTGCGGAACTGCAAAAGGTGAGTGGTGCGCACCTTTGAGTGGTGTGCTTGATGCATGCATGCATCTAGGCTGCCACGCATGAATGTAAGCTTGTTTGCTGTGCATTCCATGCTCAATCTGGTGCGACTTTCTGTACATCGGCAATTGCTTCAACCATTTGTTGTTATCGTAATACTCATTGATATCGTCCACGCCCATGCACTCGCGTCCATTACCTCTTCCCCCCCCTCCCCACCCCCCCCCCCCCCCCCCCCCCCCCCCCCCCTTTCCGCCCCTCACCCCCCCACAAGAGGTCCCACTCTGTACCGTCCCATCGCACCGAATTCCCACTGCGACCTTTTTGTACTTCTTTTATGTTTTATTTTTTCTCCCCGCATGGTAAGTTATCATGAAACTGCCCGCCCCCTCCCCCCGCACCTTCTCCCTCCCTCCCCCTTCCCCATCAACCCCTCCCTCCTCCGCACGCTCGTGCAGGTGGACGTGCTTGCGCTGCCGCGGCCCCACCGCAAGGCCTTCTGGATCAACATCTACAACTCCCTCGTGCTGCACGCCACGCTCGCACTCGGCCCACCCCAATCCGCACTCGACCGCAAGCGCTTCTTCTCAAACTCCTCCTACCTCATCGCTGGGCATACCTTCTCTCTTGACGATATCGAGCACGGGATTTTGCGCGGTAACCGCGCCACCATCGGGCTGCCGTTCTTTCCGGGAAAGCGTCCGTTTGGAGGGTCGGATCCGCGGAGATTTTATTCGCTGCCGCCCGCCGACCCGAGGATTCATTTTGCGCTGAACTGCGGTGCGCGGTCGTGCCCTCCGATCCGTCTCTTTTCCGGAGATGCAATTGACAGTGAATTGGATACTGCTGCTGGTGCGTTTCTGGAAGGGGATGTGCAGGTGGTGGTGGATGGGAAGAAGAGTGGAGGGAAGGAGAAAGATGGAGGAGTGGGAGGTGAGTTGGTGCTTGAGGTTACCAAGTTGTTGGATTGGTATGGGGTGGATTTCGGAGAGAATGAAGAGGCAAAGGTGCGGTGGATATTACCGTATCTTAAAGCACCAGTGAGGGCCCAGGTGGAGGGTGCGTTGGCTGCTGGGAAGGCGGTGCATTTGCAGTTCCGGCCTTATGACTGGACTAGCAATAGCTTGTGAAAGCCACAGATGATGTTGGCCATGAGCTTGCATATTTTTTTTGTGCCAACGGTAGGGGTGCTGGTTTTGGTGGGCTGTTCTCTTTTTGTTTCTCTTATGTTCCCTTCACGTGTATGAGAGTGAGGTGCCTTTGATACAATAGTTTGATCTGGGTATTATAACATTGTTTGTACCGTACAGTTTCTAAGCATTCCACTTCAAACTTGTTAGCGGGAACAAGAGCCACGTCCTGCGCTGTCGCGGTCACCTGACCAACACAGACCAAATCAGAGCAGCAGACACGTCCAGACGGCCGCTCATCTCATTCCGATCGATTGACCGATTGACTTACAGCCGTCGATTGAGGTGAAGAATTTGGGAAAACCTCCCGCGTGTATTCATTTCATGGTTTCCCATTCGCCGTGTTTCTTTTGAAGAGTTGACGCGTTGAGAATTGAGATGAACGAAACCTGCCCGAGTAGAGAATGGGGGAATGGAGGAAGAAAACACCAAAGCGTGAACGTGTTGAGTTGAGATGAGCAAATGTTTCGCGGTTCTTGAAATGAACGAGCCATGCACTCTAGTTCACTTTCACACTAGGGAAGCTGGTCGCGTCGCGCGGCTTTTTTTCCAGTGGTCCCCGAGGTCTCCGAGAACTCGCAATAGGAAAGCTCTTCGCTCCTGGCTCCTCGCGTCGCTAACGATGCTTTTGCTCGAATTACCAGTCGAGGTTCACGCACCGTACTTATCGCCTGCTTCATTAAAAGGGAATAGTCGGTCTTCGCGAGCAGCGGTCAACCTGGACTCACTCGTTCGCCGGGTTCATCCTCCGTGATTCGTCCTCTCGCTCTCTTTTCCTTCCCTTTCCTCGAATTTCCGCGCGTTTCAGGATTCGAGTAGTCTCAAGTGCGACGTCGGACGCATTTAAATATCCAGAGCTCTAGTTCTTTTCCTCATTGCGAACTTCTCCGAGGTCTCTCTCGCTCTCGCTCTCGCTCGCAACCAGCGCTCTCGCTCGCTCACTCGCTCACGCTTTCGCTCTCATTTCCTCCTCCTCCGCTCGGCTGTCACTCCCTCTATGGCCGCTAGTTCCTACTGCTCCGTCCCTTCGCTAGCTTCGTCACACGCCCTTTCTGCGTCCCGTGGCTTGGCAATCACCAGCATCAAGAACCAGCGGCCGCGCGTATGCTCACAGCCGCTTTATCCACCCGCCATGGCGAATCATCACTCTGGCCCCTCGTCTAGCCACCAGAGCCGCCGACGCGACTCGTCTTCTCCTCTCCCCTCGCTTCCTCCCCTCCCCTCGCCTCCTCCCCGCCTCGTTTCGTCTCCCCTCGCCAACCCCCCCTCCCCCTCGACTTTTCCTTCTCTCCCCTCTTTGCCCGCGCCTCGGAAACTCGTTGCTTCCACAGCCGCCGCCGTTGCCGCTGCTGTCACAGCAGCTGCTGTTGCTGGCGCTGCTGCTGCTGCTGCGCACGGGGGTGGTACCGCTGGTGCTGCTGTCGTGGCACCGTTTGATTCGTCCACGGTGCCACCTGCCGTGGCGGCGATGATGTCAGCAGTACTGCACAAGATACAGGAGGCGATTGGAGAGGAATTGGTTGAGCGAGGAGGGAGAATGGATTCGAACACTGGTGCTGGCACTTCTGCAGCTGGTGGTGCTGCAGCGGGTGGTGGTGGTGGTGATGCTGGTAGTGCTAAGGGGGGTGATAAGGCGGACGGTGTTATGAAACGATTTGAAAGCCCGGACGGGAGGTCGACAGGGGCCATTCTCATGCGCGCAGGCAAGGCGGCACAGGAGCCGTCCAGCACGGGGGGCCGGAAGGTGAGTTGCGTCGCTCTCGCTTGCCGTCGGTTGCTGTTGTTCGCTGTCAGGTGCTGCCAGGTGCTGTCAGTTTGTCAGTTGCTCAATTCGTCTCGAAATCCATTTTCGTTTTCTTCAACTGTTTCCTCACTCTCCTCTACCCGCTCCACCCTATCCTTCTCTTGTCCTTGCCCGCTCCCCATCCATGCACAGGTGGACCGTCTCTTGGCATCGTGGCTGCACTGCCCGCTCCCCATGGCCTCTCTCGCTTTTGTCACACTCACAGTGCTCATGGGACCGGCCACTGATGCCCCCCACCTGCTCTTTGAATTTATCTTCTCCGGCCCTCCCGTCGACCAATCGGCTGTTGCCACGCTGCAGCACTCTGGTTCCGCTGCAGCTGCTCATGCTGCCCATGCTGCTAGCGCTGCCCATACCGCTGGCGCTGCTCATGCTGCTAACGCTGCCCATGCTGCCAGTGCAGCTGGCGCTACTTCTGCTTCTGCTGAAGATGCAGGAGGGGGAACTGCTGCCTCCCCGGTTCCTGCTGTATCCTCAGGTATGGAGATTTCTCAGGCTTGCTACAGGAATCTGCTAGCGAGATTCAGAGCATTTCGAATGTATGCCATGCTCCGATTTACTGTTGAAGTTGCTGCTGTGTCTGCATGTGCTGCACACCCTGCCTTTTTCACCAGTCCCCTCTTAATCCCGTCATTGTCTGCACTGCAGTGACTCTCTGCAAGGCAAACTTTGTCCTTCCTTGCATATTCCGGTTTACTGTTATCCTTCCTGTATAAGACATTTCCCCCCCGCATATGCTCCCATTTTTCGCAGCGTTCAACCAGCTGACAGTGGTGATGGATGTGATTGCACGGAAGGACCTTGTAGCAGATGCAGAGTACAGGCAGCGAGTCTATGAGACCTCTCAGCTGGCTCGTCTGTGGGCGCAGGTGTGCAGATCTCACTCTCCTTTTGACACATTCGCTCATGCACCACCCAGAACAAGCATGCCGTTTCACTGTTGTTGGTGCCAGTGGGAGTGAGTAACCTCACCAGGTTAAAACGTCCTCCCTTTTTCTCATCATGCGAATCTCTGTTCCTCTTTCTGTCTCTTTGCAGTGTGCTGCGGACAAGAGGCTTGAGCCGTTCTCCCCAGCCACACTCTTCCTGCGTGCTGCTCTCTCCCCAACTGCGCTGCTCTTCTCGCTCAAGCCTACTCCAACCACCACCAGCGACAGCAGTAGTTCTGTTGTAGTGACTGACGCCTCTCCTGGCAAACCAAGAGCAAGCAGTGAGAAGCCAGCACACTCTGGAGCTGTCCCACAGCAGCAGTCAGCAGGTCCACATGAGAGTGCTGATTGGCTGACTGAAACAGTGGAAGAAACTGTTTGCCCTCTTGCAAAGGATGTGCTGTCTTCATGGTTGGAAGCTGCTGGCAGTGCAAAAGCTGTTGGAGGGGAAGATGAGCAGCACGTGCTTCTGGCGAGAGATAAGGCGATTGTGCAGTGTGGCATCCAAGTGGATCTGACCAGTAATCTCCCGCGTTTGTTTGGGCAGAAAATCACCGACGAAATTGTGGATGTGTTTAGGAACCTGTAATGTTCAGCTTTTGTGTGCACTTCGCTCATATACGTCTGCAACCATGTCAAGGATAGATCATACTCCTACATTTGTTCAAGGAAATGCTTACTCGTACATACTACTAGATCATTGTCAAACATAAATATACGAATACAATTTTATGTTGGTGAGTCTAACACTCCAAAGATTGGTAAAATGTATTTCATTACCTAAATGGCCGAGCAAAAGGGTATTGTGGTAGTAGAAACTGAGTGGCACAAAACTTTGAGTCACTGTTAGGGTTAGACAGTGAGTAGATCAACACAAAGCTATGTACAGTAGAATCAGGCAGCAACTCTCAGCGCCATGTAGACATGCGTTAGGCCTATTGATGAGGCTGACTGGAGGAGTACAACCCCTTGGAGTCCTTCACAAGGAAAGTCGTCGAGCTTTCATTGCGTAACTTTTCCTCCCCCCTCTCTTGCCCTTATGTGTAGATGCATCCCACTCATCCCCACTTCCACCTTGCGGAGTAGCTGAAACAGGCTTTGGGGGGCGCCCCCGCTTACGCTTGACCCCATGCACTGGAGCACTATAAGGTGCATCGCCGGCTTCACCCCCGATTGCACCCTCTTCTCCTTCTGTAGGCCCTGCAAACCCTCCTGCAGCCTTGCCCCCCCCTCTGGGCTTGCTTGGCGTGGAAACAGTGAAGCCAGTGTAGTCTCCAATGGACTCATTCTTCATCAGTCTCTTGAATGCCTGTAGGGAAAACATACAAACTGTTAGAGCAGCCACTGCCCTGACAGGAAGCAAGTGCATTCAACCAGACTGCATTTGTGAAGATCCAAAGATCTAACTCATACCTGATATTGCAGGATGAACTGGCGCATATCATTGGAAATGTCCAAGGGAAGGTTGTGCAATGAAAGATCTCCTGGAGCCCGTTGTCCAAGGGCTTCACTGTTGGTGTTTCGTTGAGACTCGATCGGATTGTAAGCCTGAACGAACGACAGCAGCTATTAAGAACATGCATGCAGAAGAAACTCCATACGACAAAACATAGGAATCAAAGTTCAGAACAGCGGGGTCGTAAATAAAGGGAATAATTACCAGGCACCGTGCATCGGTGAGGGAGTATGCAGCCTTCAACCAACCCTTCAGCTGAAGAAGCACGGAGATAGCCATTGCAGCTCTAGTATCATCCTGCACAGTCATGTGAAGACATTATAAGAAGCCGAGCATGTAGAAAGAAAAATAGATTCAAACAACCTCATGTATCAAACACTCTCGTCACTCTGCCTTCCAGATACCAAGATGCCATTTCCCAAGATACCTTGAGCCTTCGAAGAGCTCCATCAAGAAAGGCCTGCTGCTCCTGTTGGTCATTCCCACAGCAGGATGCTCCTTCAGGAATGGTAATTTCGATAGGCTGAGAGCCCCCCGCTTCCTCATCGTCTTCCTCCTCCTCAGTTATGCGATATGCATTCCCACACCGGGCTGCTTGCTCCTCTTCGATCGCCTTGACAGCAGATGTGACAGAAGGTCCGAGCGGGCTTGATGGTCGGAAGAGGTACTTAATGGAAGAATGAAGAGAGCCACCTCTCATGTGGGCCACACGACTGATGTGATGAACCAGGAAGAGTGGCTCGTCAGGAAGAGCAAACGGAAAGGTTGCAATCACCTGGGCACAGAACCTGCAGCAACCACAGTGGAGAGAACGAAAACCCAGCATTGTAAGGAGACGAGAAAGAACCAAGCCACTTAACACAAACTAGCACTGAAGGCACAGTAGCCACTTACGCAAGGAAGTAGATGTCAAATGCTCCAGAAGGAGTGACACTGTAAGATGAGGGCGGTTCTTGATGAGCCCTGCTCGTAGAAGGACTGTTGGTGGGAGTGCTGCTGCCCAATTTGTTGCTCATACTGCTGCTCGCATCAACACAGTCAAATTTCCTGAGGATCGAGAGGAGAATGTTGTTTCGTGAACTGCGGTTGCCTCGAATCAGCTTGTACACACGCCCCAACCCTTCCCGAGCTAGCCCAAGAAGTTTGGCACTGGCAGCATGTGTTGCTGGGCTTGAAGTTGTTCTTGGCGAGTTAGGATCTGCCTTAGTGGGTGTCTTGATTGCTGGATTAGACTGAGTGTTAGTTGGATGACCAGAGAGAGCCCTCATGAAGCCATAGGCCAAGCGCATGCCATCGGTAAACCGATTTTCGATGAAACGATAGTTGCCCCACCTGCACAAACAATGTTCAACAGATTCGTTAGATGGTGTACTCCATGTACAAGTACGGCGACGTATAAGGTAAAGGATGGCTTGCCTGTCATTGATCAGTGATAAAAGGTGGTGTGATGTCTTCCAAGTCGTCTCATCAGGGTCAACTTGAAGAGCAATCAACTGAGGAACACACGTGACTGGTAGCACGAGCCCTTGATTCAGAACAATCTCCACCAACTGCCAAAAAAACAGCACAAATTCGCTTATCAAGAACATAACAACAAAACCCGGTCGCAGTGATATGCCCAATTAAAGCGTGGTGCGATGGATGCTCACCTTCAGTGCTGTTTGTCTAACGTCCGGATCCATGTCCATACAGCACTGCAAGATCGCTTCCCAATGCTGCTGAATGACTCCACTGCACACATTTGTGTCCCCCGCACCTGCAGCCACGGGCACAACCCCAGTCGCACTGCTGCTACCACCTGCTCCAATCCCTTCGGCGCTTTCTTCCTGAAGTTCTCCCGTGCTTTGATGCCTGGCAGCGTCTTGTGCCTTCTTTGCTGCTGCTTCGGTTTGAAGATTCCGGCGATTCTGCTCCACCATCTTCTCCTCCACGTCCGTCAAATACTCTTGAAAGCTCCTCAGAACTTGCACCTGTAAACAGAAAACAAAGTGATATGCGTCATCCATATTTGGTTCGTGATCATTGAGTATGAGTCAAGAAGGGCACTGCACTTTTATAGTCCTCAAAAAGTAATCACTGTGTTGTACCTTGTGCTTGCTTGGGGCCTCCATGTGAAGTGCATTTCCAAAAATCTGGGCAGCATCCTCTGTAACCATTTCTTGCGGCCTTGCAATAAAAGCGAAACCCAAGGCCTGCATCGTAAATGAGACAGTACCAAAAAGACATAGGAAAATCAATATCTGGCACAGCAAACTAGTGCAGCGAAAACCAGAAAGCACCTCCACGCACCTGGAGAGCACGTTGCTGAAGCTCTTCTTCAGGAGATGAGAGAAAGGACTTGAAAACAGTAAGGATAGATGGGATTGGAAGCGAGGGCTCTAGGGCTTCAATTTCGTTGCCGCCGTAGCGGCACAGAAGGCCAAGTGCAAAAAGGCTGCGCCAATGCTGCAGAAAACAAGCCACTTCTTGCAGTTGGTCAAACAGATTCTCACCAAGAAGGAATAATATTGAAGAAAACAAGAAAATGTCAGCGATGAGTAGCCAGAATGTGGAGTACGTACAAATTTGCTCTCGTTGGGGTTGGTAAGTGCGCGGTAGAATCGGGGAACAAGCAGCTGAAACGACTTCAGAGGCCGTGGTGAGACAATTTGGAGAGTGCAAAGACACCTGAAGTTGCCACAAAGAACAAATGTGGCGCATGTTGATGACAAATGGAACTTTATGGTGAATTAAATGGTCGGTAGAGAGCGCAATTACCTGATGGAGACATGAACAAGGTTCATGAAGCTGCTGCTGATGATGAGGCATGCAAGGACCTGATCCAGGTCAGTGACAAGAGATGACGGAGGCCGGCGAAGATGTGCCAAAATTCCTGCTATCACCCGAACAATGGACTCTGACAGACAGGCAAGTCGGGCCAGCCTCTCTCGCGGCTTGACATCACCATTGCTCCTGTCATCCTGCATGGGATTGTCAAACGAAATAGTCAGCAAAATATTCTTTTGTGGATTGCTAAAACTATGGAAACCTGGCTATACAGCATACCTGTGTTGTTGTCAGGTATGGAAGCAGCGTGGTTGCGAATCGGCTTGGATCCACAGGTGGAGTGCACAGTGTAGCATCCACTTCACAAAATGCTTGGAGGGCCATCACAAACGGAAGTGCTGCAAACTCATCCGATTCCCCCTCTTGTGCCTGAAGACAAGCACAGCATCAGATGTCAATGGCTGGAAAACCAAGCAGCAAAAAAAAGTAAAAAAACGTGATACTGACCATTAGGACCTGGTCAAGAAGATAGCGACAGATAGCTTCACAGCGCATCCTCACAAAAGGCCTCTGCTGTCCACCGGCTTGAGCGGAGAGGGGAGCAAAGGAGGCCGCCGAGAAAGATGATGTAGCCTGCACTCCATTCTGTGCATCACATTTCTTGTCTGCGGCTTCGTCACTAATTTCCAAACTCCGCCTGATGATTGAGACTATGGTCTGATGGCACTTCTGCGTCCGCAAGACCTCCACAAGTTGCCCAGCTATGGCAGGCACCTTTTGCTCCTCTGACTCTTCTTGTGAAACCTTCGAGGAACCCCAAATGCCAGGGACAGCAGCTGAGCCGTCAGTGTTGGCCACAGCAGTGGTTGAAGCTGCTCCCTCAAACCAGACATCATGGAAGGTCTTGAGGACCAAGTCACGAACACTAGCCTCCTCATCATTAAATCTGGTGAAGATGCGTGCCAGGGCCTCTGCTGCATGGGGAAAGCCACGATGTTGCAAGCATAGCTCCCGGACAATACGAATGACTCGCTTCCGCACACTCACACCGGTGTCTCGGATGCGATCTGTGATGGTATTGTAGTACTGCAGGGAAAGAAATGAAAAAATGGTAATGATTGTACAGTCTTCATCAAGAACAGAAAAAACATTGGACAGGCAGGCACATACACAGGCGGTCAACGAACCTTCAGCGCAATTTCAGGGTATCCAATGATGTGCTTCCCAACCAGGTCAATCGCAGCCTCTCTCACACTGACTGACACATCCAGAAACCGATCCTCCACTGCCTTCCGCACCTTGTCCAGAGCAAGGATGCTTGGATCCACCTCTACCACCATGCTCAACTGCAACGAAAACGAAGCAGTGATAAGAACGATAACAAATGGCGACAAAGAATGCAGCAGCAACCAAGCAGCAGGCTTACTGCTTTCATTGCTTTGGCACGATTTGTTGGCCTGTCCTTCAAACAAGCCTGCAAAATAGAAGGAGAGCCAGAATAGACTAATTTGACACACGCATTGGGAAAGTAACAGGAGATGGGAGGGCAATGGGCATGGCTTGTACGGGACTTTAAGTGGTGCTTCTTCATACCAACAGCCGTGTCAATACAGCAGAGAAACTCCGATGAAATGCGCGACGCAAGTTGAAACTCCGAACCACACGGAGCACAAGCTCCCTTGGTGCAACCGCCACATCCGAGCCAGGAGCAAGTGCAGTGGTTGCTGGCAGTAGCGGTACAGACGGATCAACCATCTGAAGAGCATCGGATGACTCCATGTGTGGCTTGAATATATGGAAACGAGCACTGTAAATTCTGTTCATGGGGCTTTCTGGGGCTGCATTCGACTGTGGGATGGGATCTTTCAGCCATGTTGCAATCCAGAAGCTGCAGGGTTTGAAGAGGGTGGACCACGGAAAGCAAATGTCAGACCAATAACCCGAGAACCACCCTTCAAAATGAACTGGCAGAACGAGAATGGAAAAGGATTAAAAAAATTGCATCTAAATATTCACCTTCCAGCATCAGCACACACTCGATTCCGTTTCATGCTGGCTGCAAGGTAGTCCAGAACCATCTGCTCCAAGACCATCAAATTCGTCACAGCAGCTCCCGTTTCCTTAATATCTCCTCCAATGGCCCTCTCCAAACGCTGCTTGACAAGGCATGGAACACACACGACCTCACTTCCAAGACACGCAGGGCCTCCATCGCCCTCACTCACCCCCATGCAATCAGGATGAAAAACGCTCGAGCATGCCGAACAGGAGGTCAGGGCATTGGGACGGCGAGCTGAATCTCCTGCAGCAGTACAAACCACACACCCTGTAGGCACGACTGCTGTCCCGTTTGAAGTGCATAATGGCCCCTCCTTCACGCTTCCGGGGCCAGCAGTGTCAGAGTCATTAACCTGCTCCTCTTTGTGTTCAACAGAACAGATTGCAGAAGAATCATCTCCCAAGGGCTTGCAAAGTCCCTTCACAAGAGGAACAATTTCTTTCTCAATGGATCTTTGATCCATTTTGAGCTTGGACGCTATGACCCCCAGAATGTCAATCGCCATGCCTTTGACAGCTGAGCTATCGGACTTCAGACCACAGCTTGAATCCAGAAAAACGCACAGAACCTGCCATAGTGCAACAACCATGTGTTGCAAATCAGCAGAAGTCATATGACCAACAGTATTATACTGCTTGTTCACAACCACCAACTTACTTGGAGCATGAGGCTCGCTGCAGGGTACTCTGGAAGGTGGAGCGCCAGTAGTAGGTCTTCAACCAAGGCTTCTAGCACAGCTTTAGAGTCCGCTCCTTCAGAACCAGCTTTAGGAGCCGACCAGCGCTCCAAAGCTACCTTCCAGAAGTATCTGACAGCATCGATTGCACTTTCCAGCCCCGTGTCAACATGACCCTTCTCAGGGCTGCTCTTTCCATCGTCAGCACCAAGTTTGTCATTCCCCTCTCCATTCGTGTTTGCCAGATCGTCTATCTGGTTTGTTGCTGCGACATCAAGAACCCCATTCTCATCAGCCGAACTCAAATTCCGCCGTCGTCCCCTTTTTCCTTTTTTTACTGGAGCAGCTTTTGTCTCTTTGATGGAAAGCTCTTCCTCTGCTTGAGGCTCAGGTTCTGGCTCAGGAAGAAAGACACAGCACTGAAAGAGCTGCAGCAGCAGTGCTGAAACCAGCTGAATAGTGCTACTGTTTTCCATCAGATGGTATGTTCTTGAGAGCTTCTTTCCCGTATGCAGCTTCCACAACAGTAGAGCAATCTCATCCATCACCAAGCTCCTATGGTGTGGATAGACACGAAAAATCTGTAAATATCACCAGAAGCATGATCGTGAGACAGGCATTAGGTGCTTCATAAGTGGCTGCTACTGCGGCTGTTGACTTACTGCAGTGATCAGCAAAATTGATTTCAGCTGAAGCAAATGCACATTGTCCACACTGAGTGCTTCAAGTCCAGTCTTGGTAATTTGCAACACTGAGCTGTCTGGCAGCCTTGTTACTGAAAGAAGTGTTGCAAATATGGGCAAAATACTGCAGACCTTGTCCATCAGAGCTGAAACGGCCTTGGAAGCCCTGCCAAACGACGCTTGCAATACTAAGGTTGCTACAGTAGTAAAATGACATGTTACAGATAGTACATGCTTTAAACGTCAGAATCTTGGACAGTACAGCTTACCTGCCATCGATGCCTTTAGACTTTCTTCGCCCTTTGCGCTCAGCTTTTGATGGTTCTGCAGCACCATCTAGACCTGTTGCAGTTTCTGTGACAGAGTGAAAACCCACGTGTCAAAGCATGGTGTCACGTAAGAGAAGATACACTCCTTTTACAAGCTTATCACGAGTTGAATGAAACTTACCATCATCATCAGCATGTGCTTGCCGGTAGACAGCATCACACGCACAGAAAATGTTCCGTGACATGTGGAATCGAATGCATTCAACAATTTTTTCAATCACCTGCAAGGAGGTCAACGGCTCAGTGAAAAAATTGCGAAAGTTGGGCATAATAAAAGGCAGAGCAAGTCGCGTACTTACTTCTTCCTGAAAGACTTGCTTTGGCATCCCATGTGACGTCATGATAAGGAGAGACAGATGGACAGCCTCCAGAGACATCATGGCGCTTTCAAAAGCTTCAGAACCCACCTGCAGATGAAAAGCATTCAGCAATGACTCAGACCACAGAGGCTGTGTGAATAACAATGCAAATCAGCTAAGCTTACATTGTCATCGTCCTTCAAAGCAGAAAGTTTGCCATTGTCAATCTGAGCTTCCAGCACTTGGAGAAACCGAGACAACAAATCGACCGGAAGATTGCATAATAGCTTCTTTTCCCTCGACTTTCGTGCACTCTCTTGCCAGGCAGACATAGCCGTCCATGCCATTTGCCTGAAACCCTGGTCGCTACTGGAAGACTCGAACAAGTCAAGAAGATCCTCCAATGATTTAGACAAACCTGATAAGCGAAAAAGCACAGTATTAGGCATGCCATCTGACGATTGCTGCAACATAACAGTAGTTGATAGCCTACCTTCAACAGTCTCCCCATCATCATGGGCGCCTGGGCGAAGCCCGTGATGAAGGCTTGTGCGTCGTTTCTTAAGCTTTGACGTTGGAGAAAACTGATCTGATGCACCTGGCAGCTTAGCAGGTGTACCATCGCCATTCATATGGGTCTCTAGCTGCAGAACATGGCAACGGAACTTTTCACGAATCATGCCGAGAAGAACTAACGGTAATACTTTGGTATCACTGAACGCACCGGCATGGTTACGAATTCCTTCCGAGTCGACTCAGTTGGAAGTTGCGAACCGTGCGGTGCTTCTTGTGGAGGCTGCTGAGACGTTTTCTGCACGAGCTGCTGAAATCCTTCATGTAAGGCGAATTGTCCAGAGGTTTGATCAGCTGGTCCAGACATAAGGACATCACCATGTTAGGCGTCAACAGAAAACAGGAAACCCAGTCAGGAGGACGAAGGTGTAATGGTCGAATATAGTGCGTGAAGCTCTGTACACGTGAATGAGGGCTTCAAGGGGGGAATACCTGAAGATGCCACTTCGAAAACCCCAGGAAATCGCTGCTCAACAGCATTGATCAAAACTGCGGTTGCTCCAGACATGGTTGTAGTTTCTGCTACTCTCCTCTCGCAAGGGCTCACCAACGATCTGATAAGAAAATAAGGTAATGTTAGCTCAGTATTCCGAAAGTCTGGAGAGATAGAAAGGTACGCTCCACTTACAGGTAAGAGACGTCCGCTCCCTGTACCAAATGTCCGATCCTATCGATGTCAGCTCCCGTCAGTCCATTGAGTGAATCAGCTAGCCTTGCAGTAACTTGATCCCCTCGTAAAACCGACGACCCGTTAGCGTCTTGGAGAGATGCTATTGCCGGCAGAGGAAGAGACTGCGCAATTTCTGAATGAGTCAAATTCGTCAGACGGAAAGCATCCATGGCTGTCAGCTCAATAAGCTGGATGAATAAGTGCTAGCCGCATCGCCTACCAGGATGGGGTTGTGCGAAGCACAGAACTCACAAAAGCTTGCAGGCAGTGCTCTTCCTTTCCCGCCAAACCTCGACAAAAAGGCTTCAGTTCCCGAGGACTGCATGGCGTGGGTATAGTAAGTTGAAGCATGCGCAAGTGTAGACGATCGACTTTTTTTTTTCTGTACATTTCATTCTTGAAAAGCAAAAGGAATTCAGGAACAACCGCAAGAGTAGTGTGTCTTAGTTACCAAGTACACCTAACAACCTAAAATGTAACATGTAATGTAACACAAAGGTAACGCTACCATACAAAAATACACGGTATGGTAGCATTGCACGGTTTCACCAGATAATCTGATTAGGCAAACAATGCCAGCGTAGTTCTTTAGAACACTCCAACCCAACGGCAAGCCCTTTCACTGAAGTGGGGCATTTTTGCAAGTGATGCAAAAACGGGCATTTCCATTAAGCCTTATGGCAATAAACCGCTGCTTTTGGATCCTTGTGTCACACATAAGAAAGAACTGACGCAAGATCCCAACAAGCTTCCACGTGACTTTTCTTTTCGCGCTGCCTTCGCTTGGGCCCTTCATCGGCGACTGCCTGCACAGCTCAGATTACATTGGACCATAATGCCTTCCCCCATCACCACCACCTCCCCTTCCTCCTCTTCCATGCCTGCCTCTGCCCCACCCAGGCCCTCCTGCCCCCCTGGACCCTTCATAATGACCATAATCATTATAGTCAGGCCCAAACCCCCCCTGCCCACGCCCACCACGGCCACCACCACCACCACCACCATAATAGGAACTATCACCACCAGCAGCCCCACCATCTCCCTGCCCATGCCCTTGTTCCCAGTTCCCTTCACCTTGACCTTGGCCTTGGAACCAACTCCCCTGTCCCTGTCCCTGTCCCTGTCCTTGCCCCCACCCTCCTTGCTGGCTCTGCCCTTGACCCTGTACCTGAGCCTGACCTTGTGCCTGACCTCCCTGGCCCTGATTCCACGTCTCCTCACCCTGCTGCCCCTGCTTCCACCCAGTAGCGCCCTGGCCTTGCCCCCAGTTCTGTTGACCTTGACCCTGAGCCCATGCTCCCTGTCCCTGCCCCTGCCCATGTCCTCCCACTCCCTGAACCTGACCTTGTCCTTCCTCTCCCCCTCCCGCTCCTTGCCCCTGATTATTCCCCTGCCCCTGCTCCCACGCTCCCTGCCTCTGCCCCTGCCACTCCCCTTGCCCCTGCCCCTGTCCCTGCCACTGCTGTCCTTGCCCCTGCCCCTGCCCTTGCTGCCATCCCCCCTGCCCCCGTCCAGGGCCTTGTCTCCATCCGCCTTCTCCTGGTCCCCAGCGCCCACCACCTCCTCCCCTTCCTCCTCTCCATCCCCCCCCTCGCCCACGCCCCTGCCACTGCCCTTCTCTCCCGCCCTGATTCCACTGCCCCTGGCCGCGCCCCTGCTGCCACTGCCCCTGTCCACCCTGCTGCCACTCCCCCTGACCCTGCCCCTCTCCCCCACCCTGCTGCCATTGCTTATCCCCTCGGCCCCCCTGCCACTGCCCCTCTCCCTGGCCCTGCTGCCATTGCCCCTCCCCCCGCCCCTGCTGCCATCCTTGCCCCTGCTGCCACTGCCCTTCCCCTTGCCCCTGCTGCCACTGCCCTTCCCCCTGCCCCTGCTTCCACCCACCTTGGCCCCCCTGCTGCAATCCTTGTCCTTGCCCCTGCCCCTGCCCCTTCCACTGCCCATCTCCCTGGCCTTGACCCTGCTGCCACCCTTGACCCCGGCCCTGCCCCTGCCCCTGTCCCTGCTGCCACGCCTGTTGGCCCTGCGCCCGTCCCTGCATCCAGCCTCCCTCCCCTTGTCCAGGCCCTTGCCACCGTCCTTGCCCCTCCCATCCAGGCCCCCGTCCCGCCCCCCCGGGGCCCTGAGCCCAGCCTCCTTCTCCCCTGAAACCCTGAGGTCCCCTCGGCCCGTCCCCACCTCCATACCCTTCTAACGGCGGCACCTGCTGCTGCAGCGGCTGCACCGCCTGCTGCTCCTGCTCCTGCTGATGTGCCTGCTGCAGCTGTGGCTTTGGCATAGCGCCCCACACATCTCCCCCGGCACCTACAGGTCCACCTCCTCCACCACCCATGCCTGCTCCCATCCCCATTCCAGGTCCTGGGACCATACCTCCCTGGGCAGGGATAGGCGCCGCCGCAGGCACAGCAGGGGGAATGGACGCGACCGGACTAGGGGCAGTGGTGGTTGTGATTTTCCAAACAGGGCGGGCAGGAGCAGGAGGTACAGAGGCCATGGGCGTAGGAGCAGACATAGAGGGAAGCGGCTGCTGCTGCTGCTGCTGGTGTTGCTGTGGATGGATATGAGCAGGACCAAAACCAGCGGCAGTGGTAGGCGGGACAGCGGGAGTTGACGTACCCGGTTGTGGGATGAACGGCTGAGAAGGGGTGAAGGAAGGCGGAGCAACTGAGCTTGTGCGGTCTTGAGTTGCCATGGTAAGTGATTGTGCGACGGGGTGTTGCTGTTGCTGCTGCTGCTGCTGCTGTTGTTGCTGATTAGATCCTTGCAGAGAAGTTAGAGCTGCAAGGGACGCGAGGGCAGGAGCTACGGCAGCAAGAGCAGAGGCCAGATTACTGGGCAAACCGCCTGCAACCACAGCTGCAGCCGCTGCAGCAGCATCAGGGGCAACCATCGGAGGAGTGCGCGCAGAAGTAGAGGCGCCTGCAGAAGAGATGGGAGCAGCAGCAGCAGCGAGAGGAGCAGCAGGAATGGAAGCAGAAGCTGGTGCGGGAGCAGCAGCGGGGCTGCCGGAATAGAAGCCAGGAGGGAGAGACGGCTCACTCTGCTGCTGCTGCTGCTGCTGCTGCTGCTGCTGTGGCAGTACCGGCTGCTCAAACTCAAACTCAGGTAAATCATCATCATCATCCATACCTCCTCCTCCTCCCAACCTCCCACCAGCAACACCAACACCCCTCCCAGCAGCACCAGCCCCGCCCGGGTGCCTATCACTACCATCATCCCACTCGCGCCCCCTTCGCCGCCTCTCCTCTCGCCTCTCTCGGCCACCCCACCCTGCAGAAGAAGGTGTGGGCGACGTTGGCAGGCGGGGAGACACAGCAGCCATAGGACCTGATTTCGGTCCAGCAGCAGGTGACATGGGAGGGCGGGAGCGTGGGGCAGGAGGGGTATGTGCAACCCCTGCTCCGTACCCACCACCAGCACTGGCACCACCACTGCCCCCACTGCTGCCTGCGCGGCGAAGGGCAACAGGTGAAGGCCCATGCCCATGACCTGAATTGAACGAGCCGTACCCGTGCTCCCGACCGTACTCCCGCTCCCGCTCCCGCTCCCGCTCGCGGTCCCTCTCTCTACCGTACTCACGCCCGTGCCCTGCGCCATGCCGGAACCTCTCTGGCTTTTCCTCCTGCCGATGTGCGTGTGGGGGTACGGCGTCTGATGGAGGGAACTTGGCTGGGGACTCTGCTGCTGCTACAGCCTTGGAGGAATGAGTTGACAGGCCTCGAGTGGCCGCAGCGGCTGCAGCAGCCGCCGCTGCAGCTGCTGAATCATCCACCTTGTAGCCCGATTCCCGCTTACTGACCTTACCGTACCCAGCAGAGGTAACGGTCGCAGCACCTGCAGCATCAGGGCCAGCCGAAGCAGCATGGGTGGTGGCAGCAGAAGCGGACGCAGAAGCAGCTGCAGCGGCGGCAGCAGCAGCGGCTATAACCTGTGCTGTGCTCTTTCGCTGCACTAGCAGGCCTAGCACCCTCTGCCCCACAGCGGACGCAGGAAGAGCAAGCACACGCTCCCCAGCTGTCAGCGACGCAACAGCAGATGAGGAGAACCTGAGAGAGGCTGAGCCAGGCGAGGGAGTCAGAGCAGAACCAGCAGTAGGGGCTGCTGCAGAGACGGTCCCTGAAACAATCAGTGCAGTTGCATCTGAGCCTCCTCCTACTGCTGCTGCTGCTGCTGCTGCTGCTGCTGCTGCTGCTGATTCCGCTGCTCCTCCAGCCGCTCCTGCTTCTCCGGCTGCTTCAGGAGTCACAAGAGCAGAGTCTGTCGGCTCTTTCCCATGCTCTGACTGAGTGCGAGCTCCACTGGTTTCTCCCTCAGTACCCATACCTGCAGGAGTCTCTGTGGCAGGAGGTGCAGTGTGTGCTGGGGCGGATGGCGCAACAGGTGCACCGGCAGAGACAACTGCTGCTGCTGTTGCCGCTGACTCTGGTGCTGCTTCTGCTGCTGCTGCTGCTGCTGCTGCTGCTGCTTCTGGTGGTGCTGCTGCCAATCGTGCTGGTGCAGCTTCTGGTGGTGTGGTGTCTGCAGTGGCGATGGCAGTGGTTGCAGGACTGACCTCCCCTCCTGCAGCTGCTGCTGCTGCTTCTCCTCTCTCTTCACTCACTCCTGGTGCCCCAGCCTCTTCCCCTACTATCTCCACACCAGTCAGTGTTGCCTCTCCTGCACCCACTGCATCTGTGGAATTAACTGCCGCAGCAACGGCAGCAGCAGAATCCGCAGCAGCAGCAGCGGCGGCAGAAACATCCCCTGCTCCTTCCGCCTTTTCTCCCTCCGCATCCATTCCAACGGTCCCTGTCTCTCCTACCACCACAGCATCCCTTAGAGGCGCCTCTGCTCCGCCTGGTGTCTCTGCTGGACCTTCTTCCTCCTTCACCACTCCTGCTTCCGCTGGTTCCTCCTTAACAGCCTGCCCTGTAGCTGATTCGTCTGTTCCAGTGGCAGCACCCACAGAGGTTGTGCCTTTATCATCTTGTGTCTCCACCTTCACCTCCTCCTTTACCTTAGCCCCCTTATCCGCCTTCTGTGCGTTCTCAACCACCTCTGCAGCAGCAGCAACAGCAGCAGCAGCAGCAGCAGGAGCAGCAGCAGCAATGTCACTACCAGTACCAGCCACTCCCGCAATACCGGGACCGGCAGCCGTATTGGAACTTGGTCCTGCTTCTGTAGCAGCAGCAGTGGCAGCAGCAGTGGCAGCAGCAGTGGCAGCAGCAGAGCCAGCTGCAGAGTCAGCAGCAGCAGCAGCAGCAGGGGTAGCTGCAGCAACACCGGGAACAGGAGCAGCAGCATCAGCAGCCACGTCCGTAGCAGCAGGCAGAGCAGCAGCGGGCGGAGCCGGTAGTGCCTGCTTGGGCAGAAACCCGTTGGATCTGAGCAGGTTCTCCCCCTCGCTGCCCACGGGCAGCAGGTAAAGCTCTGTGCCCTTGCACGGCTCTGCAAAGCCCACCCTGTTGCTCTCCAGGTACTGCTCTGCTGCCTGCTCGCATGGGGCATACAGGTGGGTGTGAGAAGATAGGGAGACGGGTGGGGTGGAGTAGAAAGGGCAGGGGAAGGTAAGAGGAGGATAAGGAAAGGTGTGTGAGGGAGAGAGGAGGGGGAAGTGAGGAGGAGGTGATGGAGAGATGGGGGAGAAATGGATTTCACCGAGTGGGTAATGAGAGGAAACATGACTGGGAGTTGGGGCGATGGAAGAGAGGGAGAGGGAACTGGGTATATCACAGCACAAAGCAAGAGCGGAGAAAGGAGGCAGTTGAATTGAGACGTAGTCAAAAAAGGTTCTTGCGGATTCTCAAAGACGGTAGACGTGGGAGTAGGGGGTAGAGGCTAAGAGAGAACGTGAGCGGCAGCTAAACTGAAGAGAAGCGCTGAAAAGAAGATGCAGAACAATAGAGGCGGGAAGGAAGAGACTAGTGAATGCCAGACGCACCTCATGAAGGGCGTCGTCTGTAACATCTGGGCATAGCAGCACTAGGACCTGGTGCCATGCCATTCACACACAATGGGGGGCGGAGGACAATAGCACAAGGCATGGAAAAGTCAGTGAGGACAATAGAAAAAGGAGAGAAAATTAGTGTGGAAAAGGTAGGGGACGGAGAGGGGAGAAGGGGAGGGGGGAGGGGCGGTTTTACTAGAAGAAATGCAAGAGCATAAGCTTGAAATTGTGGAGTGCAGTGGAGGGTTAGAGTCGCACAAGATAAGAGCAGCAACAAGAGAAGAGGCGTGAGCGCAAGTAGAGGAGAGTCGTGGGGGGAGGACGGGAGGCGCGAAGGGTAGTGGGGCGTGGAGGAGAGTGGGCGAGAGTGGCCGAGAGTGGAGGGGGGCGGAAGGGAGTGGGTGAGAGAGAAGGAAAGAGGACGGGAGAGGAGGGGAGGGGAGGAGAGAGGAGGGGAGTGGTGGAGAGAGAAACGGAGTGGAGGAGTGAGGAGAAGGGAGGAGAGAGGAGAGGGGAGGAGAGAGGAAGAGAGGAGAGAGGAGGAGAGGAGGAGAGGAGGAGAGGATGTGAGAGTGAAACAAAGAGTAAGAGTGCGCACCACGACGGTTCTAGAGCGGGCGGTGCGCAGGGCAGAGAGGAAGGTGGCGAAGTCTGACATCTTGACGCGCCCCTTCACCTCCACCACCGCCTCAAAGCGCCCCACGTCCACACTGCTGTCGCCACTGCTCGCCCATTGTGCACGCCGTGTCATGCATGGGCGATGGAGGGGTGACAGACGGTTGATGATGGGTGATGGATGGGTGATGAGCAGGAGAGGGGATCAACAAGGGACGGGTGGGGTGGGGCGGTGAGGACAGGGATGAATGGGGAGGAGAAGGTGGGAGATGGGGGAGAAAGAGAGGGTTTTGGAATATTCAAGCAAGGCAGCTGATGGTGAGAAAGGGAGAAAGCAAGCACAGCAGGCTGTCTGCTGCTGGATGGTGGATGGTGGGTGGTGGGTGGTGGATGGTGGATGGTGGATGGTGGATGGTGAATGGTGGATGGTGGATGATGGTGGGTGGTGGGTGGTGAGTGGTGGATGCTTGAGGCGCCTCTCTGGTGTTCCTAATGAGGCAAGCAGAGTGCTAACGATTACAGAAAGCACCGTGCAGGCAGATGGGGCACTTGGCCAGCTTTTGCAAATCCCCAAGAGGACAGCACAAGCCGTGGCAAGCAGCAGTCGTACCCTAGAGCACCCTAAAGTCCAAGCCTAAGCACCATATAAACCCTATTAAACCTTGCGCACCTGACTCGGAAGGCGCGGATGGGGCACATGCGTGAGGACGTGACCTGCAGCCCGCCCTCCCATATGTCCTGCCCCACTGCCAGGGCCTTGGCTTCCTCCTCTGCCTGCGACCACACCTCCTCCACTGCACCCTCCGTCACTCCCCCCCAAAACGCTGCTGCAGATGCTGCTGCTGCACCCAGCTCCACCTCCCTCTCCCTCTCTTTCTCCTTTGATGCTAGCCCCCATTCGGCTGCCTTCTCCCCTCCTCCTCCTTCTCTCGCCCTGCCTTCTGCTCTCTCCTTTTCCTTCACCCCCTTTCCGCCGTCCCTACTCCGTCCTCCATCTCCTCCCCCTCCCCCTTCACCATCCACTCTCCCTTCCTTGCCCTCCTCTTTCACATCCCTCCCATGCCTCCCGCCATGCACTTTCTCCCCGTCACCCCCCAACGACCCTGCCTTCCCCAGCACTCTTCCACCTCCCCCACTCCCACCTGACCCTCTCCCCTCTGCTCCCACTCTTGCCTTTCCGCCTCTCTCCCTGCCCTCCCGCCCTTCTCTCCCTTCCCGTCCCTCCCGCCCATCCCCTGAACCCGATCTGTCTCTGCCTGTGACTCGTGCAATCAACTCTCCAATCCCTTCCTCTTCCAATCCACCTGAACCCCCACCGCCCACACCACTGTAACTCCTGCGCCGAATACCTTCAACAGCCAGCCGTTTCCCCCCTCCCCGCTGCTCCTCCTCACCCTCCACCCCCCTGTCGCACTCCTCCTCCCCATCCCCTCCCCCACCACCCCTCATCGCACTCCATTTCTCCCAGCTCATAATCTCCCCACTCCCCTTCCCCTCCCCATCCGCTTCCCTCTCCCTCTTCACACCACCCCCACCGTCCCCTCTCTCCCTCTCCTTCCGCCCACTACCCACTCCGCCCCCATCCCCCTCCCCTTTTCCCTCCACACCACTCCCACCCCTCCCTCTCCCCTCCTCCTCGCCCTTCCCTCCTCTCTTCCCTCCATTCAACCCCACAGCAGCCACCACAGGCGCCGAAACCTCTTCCGCCAGCGAAGGCAACTCTACCTCCACCTCTCCCTTATGCGTCTTCTTCACCACACGCATCAGCGCATCAGAATCTTCTTCTGTCAACACCGTCTGCTCCGCATGCTCCTGGTACTTAGCCTCTCGCCACTGAGACAGCTCTCTAGAAGCCAGCTGCTCTGCAGTCATCTGGCAGAGCTCTCTAGGGGGCAGGTCCCCTGAGATTACTCGCCCACGGAGCTCTGGGTTGCTCGGGTCTTTCAAGTTGAAGAGCAGAGATCGAGCCCGGTCGCGGTACTTTTTAGTCACTCCTCGGAAGAGTCGGAAGAGCTCGTCTTCGATTGTGGCTGCGAGGGCGTCAGCTTTGGCGCGCTGCGCTGGGGGGAGGGAGGCTGGGGAGAGTGAGGGGGCAGGTGGGGTGGTGGTGCTGGTGACTGGGACAGGCGGGGTGGATGGAGATGATGGGATTATGGCTGTTGATGGTGCTGCTGATGGCGATGCTGCTGCTGTTGCTGGTGATGGTGCTAATGATGCCAGTGATGGTGCTGCTGCTGGTGCTGGTGTTGAGGCTTCTAAAGGTGTGGTCACTGGTGGTGATGCCACTACTGCTAGAGCTGGTGCAGATGTTACTGCCACTGCTCCAACAGATGATGGGGCTGCTGCTGCTGCTGCTGCTGCCGCTGATGGTGCTGCTGGTGCTGCTGCTGCTCCTGGTGCTGCTGCTGCTGCTGGTTCGGGTGCTGGTGCTGCTGGTGCTGGTGCTGGTGCTACTGGTGTTGCTGCTGGTGGTGGCTCTGCTGCTAATGCTGCTACTTGTGCTGCTGCTTGATGTGTTGGCGGTGCAGCTGGTTCTGGCAAAGTTGCAGCATCTGCTGCTGCCGCAACCACATCAGCCGTCCCTCCCTCCGTCCCTCCTGGTGGAACCTCCACCACATCATCATCCATCTCCTTCTCCTGCGCCCCCATCACTCCTCCCGCTCCACCCACCCCCATCCCCACCACTGCGTCTTTCATCTCCACATCCCCCCCTGCATCCTCTCCTCCCTGTACTGTTACTCCTCCACCCACCCCACCTTTGTCCTCCTTATTAGCCCCCCCGTTACCAGCTCCTGTCTCCCCCTCTCCACCCTCTACCGCAGGCACAGAACACGGCACTTCAACCACGTCTGAATCCGCTTTAGCTGCAGGCTCCGCTCCTCCCTCCTCTCCCTTGCCCTTCCCTCCACCTCCTTCCTCCTCTTTCAACACCTGTGCACCGAGTTCAACACCTCTCGCATCCCCCTCCTCAACTGCAACCTCGTATTTTACCTCTCCTCCCTTCCCTTCTCCTCCCTTCACCTCTACCACATCCTCCTCCATCTCTTCCGCCTTCACTGCCCCTCCTTGCTTCTCTCTCGTCTCTCCCTCCTTACCTACTGCAGTAGCAGCAGCGCCACCACCCTCCTCGTTCCCTGTCACCGCCACTGCAGCCGCCTCTGCTGCTGCTGCTGCTGCTGTTTCTCCTGCTGCTGATTCTCCTGCTGCTGATTCTCCTGCTGCCGCTTCTCCTGCTGCTGATTCTCCTGCTGTTTCAGCAGCACCAGCGCCTGCTGCTTCTCCCATCAAAACATCTACCACCGCCTCTCCTGCAGCCATACCTGTTTCTGTCACACCCTCTGCCTTCACGTCCGTTTCAGTCACCATCGGTTCAGTGACAGGCTCTGATTTCAGCCCAGCTTCCCCGGCCACCACTCCTGCAACCACTACTGCAGCCGTAGCAGCATCTGCAGCAGCAGGAGCAGGAGCAGCAGCGGCAGCGGCAGCAGCAGTGGGGTCTGACTGATTCACTGCTGCACTTTCAGAGGAATTACCTGCTGCTGGCTGTGCTGCACTGTCGACTGCAGTAACCGCTCCAACAGTGGTCGCACTGTGGACGGCAGCAGCGGACTCAGCTCCAGCAGCAACAACACCACCACCATCAGCAGCAGTAGCCGCCTCAGAAGGAAGAGGATCAGCAGCAGGAGCAGTAGGAGGAGCAGGAGGAGCAGGAGGAGCAGAAGAGTCAGCTGCAGCAACAGCATCAGCGGCTGCGTCAGAGGGCAAAGCGTCAGAAACAGAAGCGGGAGCAGTCTCCGAAGCTTGCACAGCCGACAAGTCCCCAGGAGTGGCAGGAACATTGGTTGAAACGCCACCTGGAGTGTGAGGCCCCTCTGCAGCAACCAACCCTACTGTTCCCGTCTCTCCTTGCACTATTGCCTCCCTTTTCACTCCATTCACCAGAAATCCACCTGCAGCTCCAACCTCCACTTTCCCCTCCTCCTTCCCCTTCTCGTCCTGCTCCTGCCCCCTCTGACCCTTCTCTTCCTCCTTAACAACCTTCCTGGTCATCTCTGCAACTGGTGCCGTCAACTCACCAGCCTTTTCCTCCTCCCTTTCGCTCTTCACTCTCGAATCTGTTCCCACACCCCCCTCTACTTTCCCTTCTAGGGCCGCAACACTGGCAGGAGCAGGAAGCAACTTCGCCTCTTCCCCCCTCTCCTCCTCCGTCTTAACCCCTTCTAACTGCTTGCTACCACCTGCCTCTTCTTTTCCTTGGATTTTTCCTTTTGAAGCAGCCATAGCAGCAGCCGCCACTGCAGACGCAGCAGCAGCAGCATTTGAAGCAGCTTCTGCAGAAGCAGCAGCCATTTCCAGCAAGCCGATGCAGAGAGCAGCAGCCACAGAGTCCCGAAACCTCTGCCGCGTTGCAATGTCCGAAGGCGATCCAGTCATAGCACCAGCAGCACCACCGCCACCACCACCACTACCACTTCTCGCAACCACCATCGCCCCTCCACCCCCTCCTCCTCCTCCTCCTCCTCTCGGGCTGCTCCCAGCCAGCCCGCTACCCGCCCGGCCCCCTCCGCCCCCGCCTCCCGCCCCTGCTGCACCCTTCTCCTGCCCTCTCGCCCGCGCCCCTGCCTGCCCTGCCGAGTTCCTCCGCTGCCCCGGGCCCTTCAGAGGAGCAGTGCGCGGCGACGCAGGAGAACCAGCCACTCCCCCTGCTGCCGCAGCAGCCGCCGCAGCTGCTGCTGACCCGCCAGAAGCGGATCGAGAGAGGGATCCGAGAGGGAAGGCGTGGGCTGCGCCTGTTGGTGGCGGCCCCGCGTTGCTGCCGCTGCCGGTGCGCATGCGCGAGTGGTGCTGGTAGTATGCTTTGGTGTGCGGTTGCGGGGGCCCGCCGTCCTGCCCCATCTGCTGCTGTTGCTGCTGCTGCTGCTGAAATTGCAGCTGCTGTTGCTGCTGCTGCTGAAATTGCAGCTGCTGTTGCTGCTGCAGCTGTAGCTTTCCCAGAGCAGCACCAGACAAACCCCCACCGCCACCTCCAGCTGCTGCAGCAGCCGCCGCCGCTGTCCCTTGCCTTGTCCGCATGACACTCTTCGCTGCTGCTCCCTTCCCTGCTCCCTGTCCTTGCCTGCTCACCGCCCCTGCTCCCACTCCCCCCACCGCTACTCCTGCCCCGCTTCGCCCTACCCCAGGGGGAGCAGCAGGCGGCACTGCAGCCATCACGCCACCTGGCATAGCACCTGGGGCGGCACCTGGAGCACCTGGGAAAACACCTGGCGGAACACCTGGCGAAACTTGCGAAGGAACGGGGGGCGCTAGCCCAGGAGCAGCAGTGGCGCCAGCAAAGGCAGGGAGAGGCGGGATGGCAAAGGGCAGAAGCTGCGGCTTTCCATAGAACACAGGAACGCGCAGGAGAGGTATGGCGGGCATCGCAGGAGGCACAGCAGCAGTGGCGGGTGCACCAGCAGCGGTAGAAGCAACGCCGCTGGCAGTGCTGGTACCTGTGGGGAGAGGAGGACCAGACAGCACTGGCATAGTCACCGCCACCAGTTGTGGTCCAGGAGCCATAGCCCCTGCTGCCACTGCTCCTGGCACCGCTGCTGCACTTCCACCTGCTGCTGCTGCAGCGGCTGCGGCTGCGGCTGCGGCTGCGGCTGCGTCTGTAACAGAGCCAGGTGCAGCAGCGAGAGGGGAAGGTGCGAAGGCAAGGGCTGCTTTCTCCCCGCCTGCCCCTCCCCTGTCTGCCGCCACTGCCCCGCAAGGAGCCAGGGTGGGAGACGCAGCAGGTGGAATGGCAGGAAAAGCAGCGTGGAGAGCCGAGGCCGGAGCTTCAAATCGCGGTTGCTTTGCTGCCGGGGCAGGCATTCCAGGATCCGCCCCCTCGACCCCTCCGGCACCAGAACCAGCCGCACCAGCAGCAGCAGCAGCAGTGGCAGTTGCAGCAGGATCCATTCCTCGGCTGCCGCCCATCATCATGTCATCTGCTGTGCGCTTCAGAGCACCTTTCGCCCCGGCCGCATCTGCCGCAGCTGCTGCTGGGTCCACTGGGGGCTGCAGCTGCAGTGGACGTGGAGTGTGTGTGGGAGACTGCACTGTGTCGTCTGGCAGAGCAGCAGACGCAGCGGCAGCAGCAACAGCGTCGTACACAGAAAACGGCTGCCCGTGCCCTTCATGCTCCTGCTGCTGCTCCTGCAGCGCCTGCTGCTGCTGCTGCTCCACCTGCTCCTGCTGCTGCACCTGCTGCTGAAGTAGCTGCTGCTGCAGCTGCAGCTGCTGCTGCTGCTGGTCCCCACCCAAGGCATTATGCGCATCGCCATTAGCGCCTCCTCCCATATTCATCTGCCCTGCGCCCAGACCCGCGTCAACAGCGCCAGGCACTTCCCCCCCCGGCACTGCCAAGCCCATGCCGTCCCCAACAGCAGCAGCAGCAGAAGCAGCAGCAGCATTCGCAGCAGCAGCCGCAGTAGTAGCAGCAGCTGCGGCAGTGGCAACACCAGCGGCAGGAGCAGCAGCCCCTGGGACCACAGTCATGCCCTCCAGCCCAGCTTCCCACCCTTCCAGAACATGATACATGCTAAACTCAGCCCCTTCCATGCCTTCCCCCATACCCATTCCCATGCCCATCCCCATGCCCATGCCCATGCCCTCGACCTCCCCTATTCCCATACCCATCTCCACTCCCATTCCTACTGCCATCCCTCCCATCCCTTCTTGACCAACATGACCACTACCACCTCCCCCAGCAATTAACCTTCCTGCCTGCTCCTCTGCAAATCCCCCCCTTTCTCCCCCTTCCCCGCCTTCCTCCTCCTCCTCTCCCTCCCCCTCCTCTTCCTCCTCCACCTCCTCGCCCTCCCCAGCTGTAGCCCCCCCCTGTTGCATCCGCTGTAGCTTCTGTGCCTCGGCACGTGTCAGCCTGCGACTGACTGCCTGCACGGATGTAGTGTGGCTGCCTGGAGCCTCGGGATTGTCGGCGTCAGACGCGGCATCTGATTGGCCGCCGTCCGAGAGAGAAGCCTGGGAGGGTTATGAGAGGGGAGGGAAGATGGTGACGGAAGGGAGGTGCGTTAGGAAAAAAAACAAACAAACAATCATGGGCTTGGAAGTGAGGCGTAGTGTGGAGAGGTGGAAAAAACGGCGGTTGGCTGATTGATTTATAGGTCGCTTGGTAAGATTCACTCAGAAAGTTGGAAATATGCGATTTAAACATGGAAAAGGGGTTCCATCTGAACAAAGCACAAGGAGGAGCAGTGCAGTGCGGATGCATGCAGGCCTCCCATCCGTACACGCGCGAAACCACACAACAAGATCATGCCTATGCACAGCACATGCACACGTGACAGGGATGGACGAAGACATGCATGCATGGATGCATGGATGCACACACTAACTATCAGAAGCATCCAACCCGACCGATGAAAAAGTAGTCCACACGGCATGATAGTGTATGATCGATACTACTTATGACTTACTGACAAACAGACACAGACAGACAGAGAGAGATGGACAAACACCGATGAGTCAACTGTCTGTGCACTTCACAACCGCGGAAGCACATATCCAGACCATACCCTAACCGTACTGAACCGCTCAAGCTAGTATAATGCTCTAGCTGCCGACAACCCACACAACAACTTCCCGCCCTTTTGAAAATTCTCCAAAGTGACTCCCTATCTTTTCACGAGATCAGAAACACCTGACTGGCTACGTGCTGGTAGTAACCCAGCCGCCACCTTTTATATTAAATAAACATCCAATGCTATCTTATCTTCTTTCCTCACAGCCATACGTAGCCGCCACTTCTCACTCTCAACACAAACCCCTCCTCTCTCCACAACCCCCCCCCACACTTTCCCCCCACCAGGCTCTTTCTCCTCCCCTCCTGATCCAATGTTCCATGTTTCTCACCTGCCCCCTCCGCATCTTCCCTCCTCTCCTCCCCCGCCGCTCCCTCACCCATCCCACGCGTCCCCTATCACCGTCACCTCTTCTTCATTCCCCCCAGCCCTTGATTTTAAAACTGAATTGTGCTTCGCCCGTGACTTGCCCTGCGATGGAACCTCTGCTTCTTCCGCCCGCGTCTTCCGCCCATTTCCTCAACCTACCCCCACTGCCCCTCTCTTTCCCCCGCCAAACCCCCCTCCCGGTCTCTTACGTCCGCAAACCCGCCTTGCCTTCCCCATCCCCTAACCCTCACCTTTTGGGTCGACTTGCGCCTCGCCCGTTTCTGCCCGGGCGACACCGCCACTCCCGCGCCCGCCGCCACGCCCGCCGCTAGCGCCGCCGCCGCCGCTGCCGCCGCAGCCGCAGACGCCGCGGCGGCGGCGTTGTCGTCGCCCCCCGCAACTATGGCCTGCGCGGCTGCGCGACAGGGTTCGCAGAAGTATTCGCCCATGCCCGCTGCGTCCTGTAGGGTAACCATGTGACAACGAAGAACACGACGGGTGGGAACGAAGGGGAAAGAGGGGAGAAAGTGGGGAAGGAGACGGAGTGGGGAGAAGGGAGTGGGGAGAAGGGAGGGGGGAAGGAGGACGAGAACGGGAAATAAGGGGTGTGTGAGGCGATGCGGAGAAAAAGGGATTGGGCAACACCGGATTTTTCAGCGACAATTGCCGTGGCGCGATAGTGACGGCGTAAAGTCGCGAGGGAGGAGAGCAAGGGAAGGACGCGAGACGAATGCGATGCGCGTGCGACGCGACACAAGCTATATGTCTAAACATCACGCTCCGTACGGGTGTTCCCGGCGCATCGAGTGAAACGTAGTACATCGTACGGTTACGGTACGTGCACGAGAGGATCTTCCATGCGGATCCGTCTCATCCCGTTTGCTTGCGTTTCATCGGGGTTTTACATGTCCCGTGTCCACAGAGATATAATTTCATCCCAATGAGTTCCCGTGCAGGTAAAATCTGCGGCCGAGATCTGCCGAGAAAATCTGCAAAGAATATCTGCGGCGGCAAGTACGAACAAACCCCACAACCAACTCCTGAAGACGGTCGCGTGTGCGACACGTCACGGCGGCTAATTACAGTGGTTTCCCACCGGCGCAGCAATTATAAGTGGAGTGATCCATAGTAGCGAAACCCTAAGTGACGGTCATGGCGCCAAACGAAGTTTAGGGTGTGAAGACGGGGCCGGAGGCGGAGGGAGGAGATGAAAGGCGCGATGTGCGCGGAGGGTGTTTCCCAGAACGGAAGGAGGGACGGAAATCGCTGGGCCGAGATCTCAGGGAAGGAAGAGCAGAGAGACAAGAGCATGAAGACGCGAGAAGCGATGCGACCGGTGCAAGAGCAAGCGAAAGCCGTGCCAGAGAAAAGCACGGGTGGTGGAGCGGAGCGGGTTTCTGGTGGCTGACTGACTTTTTCGGAAATGCCGATGCATGCACCATGGCACCATTCGAAGCAGTGCGCGCTCTTGTTCTTGGCGTCGCACGCGATCATGAAGCGGCCTTTCTTGTACGACTGCCGGCACGCGCAGTAGTGCTTCGACGGCAGCTCGATGCACTCGTCGCGAAGCTTCGCGGGGAGACGGATCTCGCGCACAGGGCGCCCCTCCCGCCCCATCGCACGCCGCGTACGCTAAGCTGAGGTTGCCACCGCCTACGCTGACCGAAGGAGTTTTCTGTGCAAAGAGGTTTTCCGTTTGTCCAGAGTTAATTTGTTAGACTGAAAATTCATCAGATCTTTCGACGCATGTGTTCGATCATTCGCGGAACGGTGCACAAATGGTTAATCGGCCATGAGCGTAAATCGCGGAGACTCGACATAAACCAAAGCCGTCTGCTCCAAGTTTTTCAAACCAAAACCCTGGCGATGTCAACCAACAAGAAACCGTAAGCGTGGGACCACAGCCAATCAGCGCGAGACAAGAACTACGGACTCTGAATGGACAAGGGAGACTGTTATGAGTTGTACTAAGAAGAGTGCGCGTTACAGAGACTCTGTTATGTTATGAGGTGCATACAAGCAGAATTAGACTGGTGTGTGCTTGTAGCAGGGGAAAAACGGAGAGAGATTGTAATGGGTGGGTTGATCTGACAGGGACACCTCTAGAAGGAACGAGGTCAGAGGAGGGGAGAGGACGAGAGGGCTCAAGTCCAGGATTGCAGGATTTGAGGGCTCAAGACGGGCAGGTGCGAGGGAGGGAGGTGAATGTAGCATCTCGGTCAGGCGACAAAAAGATGATGTTTTTGCCTTTTTTATGTTCTTGAGGTAGTAGAAATGCAGGGTTTCAGCTAGTGAGAGGACGGTCGCAATTTACTATTTTTTAGTGCAGAACGAAAATGTGTGGACCTCCAGTCGTTGCCACTGGTAGGCTTCGCGTCTGCAAATGACGAAACATGCAAACAATGAATTTACATCCACCGTATATTTCTGCCGCTGGACGTACAAAAAATAGTATGCCGCTGGACGTGGACACGAGAAAAAGTCTGCAGCTGCCCAACTGAGGCACAAGGGACATCCTCCCCTCAAGCTTCGTTGTTAAGTAGCCATGTTTTCTGGATTGAAAAAATGACCTGATTATGATCTTGGAAGTATATGTTATAGAAACATTCCCCACTAGTGTACAAACTGACCTCCCTTACTGTACTAGCTAATACTACAGCTTGCTCGGCTAGAAAACCTGCTACCCTGTTGAAAGTTATTTCTGTTACGGTAAATTGTTGAGGATACCGTAAGTATTGAGAAAAACGCAGTGACATGTTTTTTAACTCAGTTCAAACAGCAAAAGAAAACAGAGCATGCCCGGCATCATAAGCAAGCAAAGATGTATTTGAACAGGATACAGCTCCTGAAAAGAAGATGCTTATGCACAAAAACACCTATAGAGAGGAAGAGAAAGCAAACGAACTGTTTACACGAGCTCGAAAATGCACATTCTAGAATGGGAGACTTCAGAGAAGGAGGCCATTGCGCACTGACAGCAGCATCACAGATATGATAACCACCTGAATACGAGCCACAAGAAAAAACATGGAATTACAGGTTAGTTTGTGAGTTTTGGGAACATTCAGGAAAGCACAAAACAAAGCAGAGTTAAAATAAGGAAATGCCCAGCAGCACATACTCAAAAGAGAACAACAGCAAAACCATGAAGTGCAAAAAAAACAGAAGTGAGAAAGTGGAAGGGTGAAAGGGGTTGAGGGGGAAGGATAGGGGGGCTGTAGAAACATGTAAGAGAGAGCGAGGGGAGCGGGGAAGGCAGGCGATATGGGAACTGGAGGAACATGATTAGGTGCAGTGTCCTTACAGCAAACACTACGTGCCACATGACACTGGTGGTGGAGGAGAGAGACATGCTTCCACCCCCACCCCCAATCATGGCCCCTTGGAGCCCCTCCACTCCTGCCACCTTCTTCCCTGGCTTGCACAGCGAGATGATCTTTGCCAGGTTGTCTCGTGTTGCCTGGGCATTTGGGTCTGTGTCGTGCACCTGGGAGGGAGACGGGCCCGGGAAGAGGGACATGCGATGCAATGCGATGTCAAGCTATGCAATGCAATACAATGCGATGTGATGACATGAAACCGCGGCGCAATGCGATGTGGGAGGTGGTGTCCGACGCAGCTAGGTGCCTCTCAGACGACCCACCTGTGGAATGACAGGCAGGTAGGTGGCAGGTAGGTGGCAGGTAAGTGGCAGACTAGGCATCGGAAAAGTGCACACCTTTGCAAGGAGCTCCAATGCGAAGGTGTGAAAGAAGGCCCGCACATCTGCCATGCTCCACGTCTGGTCCATCACCTTAGCAGCTAGACCTGCAGAGAGGAGGAGGAGCAGGACGGTGGGGTGAGAGGAGGAGCAGGACGGTGGGGTGAGAGGAGGAGCAGGACGGTGGGGTGAGAGGAGGTGCAGGACGGTGGGGTGAGAGGAGGTGCGTGTGAGGCACATGACGTGACATGCACATTAACCGTGCTACACATCTGGTCCACCACCCATGGGGTTTGTCTCATTGTCCTAACAACAAGAGTTGATGGAAGTAAGCCTCCGCAACCCACCTGTCCGCTACTGGCAGCTCAGGCACATGATGTGGCAGGTGGGTTGTGCCGAAACTGCTTTTGAGTCGACTCAAAATGTGGCAGGTGGGTTGTGCCGAAACTGCTTTTGAGTCGACTCAAAATGTGGCAGGTGGGTTGTGCCGAAACTGCAGCATATCTGCCATGCCATGCCATGCCATGCCATGCTATGCTACACATGTGATGTGATGCATACATGTAAGGATGAGACACAGGACAGAGACAGAGAGCATGTTGCAAGCAGGCACGATGACAAGGAGACGAGTTGCTGACTTGACAAGGGGCGAGCGTGGCAAAGAAACCGACAGACAGTGCATGCGTAAGGTAGGGAACGTGGAAAATACAGGAAGTTACAACACAATGATATGCCTTGGGAAGTAGTTATAAAAGGTAGAACGTTGTCGCAACCAGGTAAGGTGTTACCACGTGAAGGGCTCATTTGGAAAAACGGCACTGCACGAGGAAAAGCGTCACCTGGGGAGGGCGTCACCTGGGGAGGGCGTCACCTGGGGAGGGCGTCACCTGGGGAGGGCGTCACCTGGGGAGGGCGTCACCTGGGGAGGGCGTCACCTGGGGAGGGCGTCACCTGGGGAAGGCGTCACCTGGGGAAGGCGTCACCTGGGGAAGACGTCACATGGGGAAGGCGTCACCTGGGGAATAGCCCAGAATCTGAAAATCTGGGCATCGTGCACTTGAGCGAGGAAGCAGAGGCAGTGAGGCGCGTGGGAGAGGGCGATAGTGACCATGTCGTTGAGACACTGCACTGCTGCTGCGCCGTTCGCCTCCACGTCCTTGAAGTCCTGGTTGGGGGGGAAGGGGGCAGTGAAAGGGGGGGGGATGCAACGTAAGGTGCTGGTGCTGGTGCGCAATGCAATGTGAGGCCAGTATACTGATGCTGCAATGTGCACTGCTGCACTGCCACGCTGCTGCATTGCTGCTGCTCCAGCAGTGCTGCCGCGCTGCTGCATTGCTTCAGCTGGGGTTGCTGAAAGCGAAACTACACCATTTTCTAAACAAAAACTGGAAACACAAGCAGGCTTGGAACGGTAACCTCTCTTCCCCGCTTCCTTCCTTCCCACTGTTGACTCCTTCCAACTCCCGATACCTCTAGCTGCTCTGAAAAAATCCCCACAGGCAATGTAGGGCCAAAGCACCTTCGATTCCTTAAGATTAACCATTCAAGGTCCCCAGTTGAACTCCTCCCCTCGTCTATCTATCTGCCTGCTCAGTACACGTTCTCCTTCCATCACACCCCACGAGTGCGCTCACCTCGAGCTGCTCAGCGTATTTCGCCGACACGGCTTTTGAGGCGCAACTATAATCGGTGCACTGCATGCAATTGCGCTCACCTCGCCAATCAGCCTGCTCAGTACACATTCTCCTTCCACCACACCCCAAGAGTGACGAGTGCCGAGTGCACTCACGCTCACTCCGACTTCTCAGTGTATTTCCCCCACACGGCACGGCTGTTGAGGCGCCTCAAAAATCCGCGCACTGCACTGCACTGCAAGCAAGTGCGCCCCACTCACCTCGAGCTGCTGAGCGTATTTCCCCCACACGGCTCGCGGCCAGAACATGCGCGGAGCCGGCTCCTCCTCTATGTCCTCCAGGTAGTCGCGAATGATGTTGGTGTTCTGTGCGGTCGGGTGCGGTGCCATGCCATGTCATGCCCAGCCATGCCATGCCCAGCCATGCCATGCCATGCCATGCCATCCAAATGTCAAGGTGCGAGGCGTTGTGACATGCCATACCATGCCATGCCACGGCACATGGATGGAACAATGTGGGTAAAACGGCCATGGGATGATGGAGGCGAGGAGGGGGGGAGAAGAGGGGGGGGGGGGAGGGGGGGGGGGGGAAGAGACTGTGAGTGAGTGGCATTCCACATGTACGGCGCATGGCGTGCCTGGAAATGCTCGTAAAGCACGCGTGGTGCAGTGCACATACGCAGCTGCAGGAAGAGTCCCATGGTGTTGGACAGGCCCTCGTCTGCAGCAGCGGGCTCGAGGCCTGAGCCCACAGTCAAGGCACCTCATAATGCTCTAGGCACGCTGCTGCAGGGCGCCCGCGTGGTGCACGCACGCACACACACATACCTGGTTTTGAGGCGCCTCAAAACACGCTCGCACACACACCTGCAGGAAGAGTCCCATGGTGTTGGATAGGCCCTCGTCTGCCAGCGGCTCGAGGCCCGAGTGGTGGAAGATGGCTGATAGCCCTATGCCCACCAGCCCCGCCACGTAGTGGCAGTAGTCCTGGTACTGCTGCTCCGTCTCCACCTGTGGGGCCAATGGAAGGAGGGGAAGCCGGGAAAGAGGGGCAGGAGGGTGGTTGCGATGGTAGCAGGAACGTGGAAGCATCGAGAAGCCGTGGCTTGAAGTAGTAGCAGTAGAGTAGTCCTGGTACTGCTGCTCCGTCTCCACCTGTGGTGCCAGGGGAAGGAGGGGAAGGAGGGGAAGCCGGGAAAGAGGGGAAGGAGGGGAAGGAGGGGAAGCAGGGAAAGAGGGGAAGGAGGGGAAGGAGGGGAAGGAGGGGAAGGAGGGGAAGGAGGGGAGGCAGGGTGTTTGGGATGGTGGAAGGAACCCATATGCATTGACAGGGCGTTGACATGAACATCGACAAACCCATGGCATGGCATGACACAGAGAGACATGGCATGACGTGGCACAACGCATCATACCTCCGCAGTGATGTACTGTACATGGCCATGGCCACACCTCTCAAAACTTTGCTCATGTGTACATACAGCCATCCATGCCCGCCCCCATGCCTACCTACCTCTGTGGTGATGCACACGGCGGTGCCCGCATTTGATTTGACAACGTACGACGCGCCATTCTCAAAAGCGACTCTCAACACAACTCAACTCAACTCAACTCTCAAAATGGCTCGAGCTTACCTCCGCGGTGATATACATGGCCATGCCCGCCCCCATGCGCTTGGTGATGTCCAGGATGACCATGCGGTACCTGCCAGCCAGGTCCAGGAGCACGGGCAGTTTGAGAGCGAGTAGTTAGAATAGAAAAGGCGCGGATGAACTCGCAGCATGCACAGTTCAGAGAGCAGAAGCAATAACAGCAGCCATGTGGCCATTGCAAAAACACACCTAGCAATGACAGAGGAGTCAACCATGCATAGGGAGGAGAAGCACCACCAACCTCGCTCCCTCACTTGCTCCCTCACTCGCTCGCTCACTCGCTCCCTCACACGCTCCCACACTCGCTCCCTCACACGCTCCCTCACTCGCTCCCTCACTTTGGGTCGAGTTTCTCGAGCGCCCGGCGCAAGTGGTGCAGGTGCTGCATTAGCTTCCGAAAGTCCTTCGTCCCGCCTGCCACTCACACGCGTGCACGCGCGCGCGCACACACACAGACACACACGCACACACACACAGACACACACGCACACACACACACACACACACACACACACACACACACACACACACACACAGAGGCACAGACACACACACACAGGCACAGACACACACACACACAGACACACACACACGCACACAGAGACACACACACACAGACACACACACACGCACACAGAGACACACACACACAGACACACACAGAGACACACACACACACACCCAAAAAAAAACACACAGCACAGTACAGCGCAGCACCGCACATCACAGCACAAGTCAGCACAGACGACAGGTCAAACGGGCGGGGGAACACGTGGAGTCGAAATAAGCCACGGGGCAAGAAGAAGCGCACGGCGAGGCGAGGCAGCTTGACACGCGGTAGATGCTGCTGCAGAGCAATGCTGCAATGCAGGGATGTATCAGAAGCACGAGCGGGAGGCGAGGCAGCACCGGCAGCACTGGCAGCAGCAACGGCGGCGGCAACGGCGGCGGCAGCAGCGGCAGCAGCGGTGGAAGCGGAGGAGGCACTCACAGACGTAGGTCCAGTTGGGGTCGGTGACATGCTCGTGGAAGGCGATGAGGATGGGGATCTTCTCCGCGTTGCCCACCCCCATGTCGTCCTCTGCTCGCCGGGGAGCGGACGGGGGGAGGAGGGGAGGGCAAGGCAGGGCAGGGCAGGGCAGGGAGGGAAGCGCGCCGGCCGAAAGGCGCACGCAAAGGGGGGAAGAAAGGAGGGGGGGAGGGGGAAGCGGAAGAGGGGAGGGAGGGGAGAAGATCAGAGGGGAGAATGGGACGGCGATGGGGATGGGGATACTCTCCGCGTTGCCCACAATCATGTCGTCCTCTGCTCGCCCCGACCCCCATAGCGCAACGAGAAGGAATAGCAGGAGAAAGCGCAAAAGCGATCCAGTAACGATGGTACTAGGTAGGCAGGCAGACAGACAGGCAGGCAGGCAGGCAGGCAGGCAGGCAGGGAGGGAGGGAGGGAGGGAGGGAGGGAGGGAGGGAGGGAGGGAGGGAGGGAGGGAGGGAGGGAGGGAGGGAGGGAGGGAGGCAGGCAGGCAGGCAGGCAGGCAGGCAGGCAGGCAGGCAGGCAGGCAGGCAGGCAGGCAGGCAGGCAGGCAGGCAGGCAGGCAGGCAGGCAGGAGGAAGGAGGAGCACTCACCAACGGTGTCGAGGGCGCGCAGGACGAGGTAGAAGATGCACACCTGGCACACACGCAGAGAGGTGGGGCGAGAGAAGTATGAGGCGAGAGAGGATGAGGGGAGAGAAGTTGAGGTGAGACAGGTGCGGCGAGAAAGGTGAGGCGAGACAGGGAGCGAGCGAGAGAGGGGGAGAGGTAGGTGGTGGGGAGGGAGGGACGAAGGCACGGTGGGAGAGGGGGAGGGAAGGAGGGAGGGAACGGTTAGATGGAAGGAGGGTGAGAGGGAGGGAGGGAAAAGGAGGGGAGGGGCTGGGGGGGTGAGAGGGGGAGCAAACGGAAGAGGGTAGGGTGGGAGGGAGGAAGGGGCGGAGAGGGGACCCGGGGGAGAGTAGGAGAGAGGGGGGGGAGGAGGGGGGGAGGGCGGGGGGGGGGGATGGGAAGGGACGTGGGAAGGAAGGCGAAAGGTGGGAAAGCACAGGAAGCAGGCACGAGCGGCGGGAGGACACAACACAGGTCGCGGTGAAGATGAAGAGTGGGAGCCATTTGAATCGACGGAAAAGGCACGAGATGCAGTAGAGGCAGGCGGGAGGGGCAGGAGAGGCAGAAGAGGCGGGATGGGCAGGAGGCGGGAGGGGCGGGAGGGGCAGGAGAGGCAGAAGAGGCGGGATGGGCAGGAGGCGGGAGGGGCGGGAGGGGCAGGAGGGGCGGGAGGGGCCGAAGAGGCGGGAGAGGCGGGAGGGGGCCAGGCGTACAGCGTGGCGGACAGCGGCGGGCAGCTGTTGAATGACAAAGGCGAAGCTCTTGCTGAGGCGGTTGAGCATGCGGTAGCAGAACGCCAGATCCTCGTCGTCGTATGTCTGTGTGGCCAGCGCCTTGGCCTCCCTGCGCACGCGCAGCAGCGGCAGCAGCTCGCCCGGATGCAGCAGAATGTCCGCCAGAAGACCCATGCTGCTGCTGGTGGCGGTGCTGGTGGGTGCTGGTGCTGCTGCTGGTCGATTCCTCCTCACGGTTGCTCTGAGCTTGCAATGCGCTCGTTCCGATGGATGAACGACCCCTCCTGATAGCTCTTGGTAGTAACTTGTGCTCTGAGCGTCAAGTAGCTTGTGCTCGGGGGTAGCCCTTGACGCCTCTGTTCTGTATGCGCAGCTGAGTGCCCGCCGGTAGCAGGGATAAGACTGGTAGGTAGCGTAGCAGTGGTTGCAGTGGCAGCAGCGGCTGGTGCAAATTTAAATGCGAGATGAGGGATTCACCAGGTCAGCTACTACTCGCTACTCGAGGGAAGAAGCAGGCAGAGAGCAAGAGAGCAAGAGAGTTCAAGGCACCGATCAATGCGGACCCACCGAGAACAAGACTAGTGGTAGAACTACTGAGACGTCTCGGCACAGCGACTCTATAAATGCATGCAGCGATAGGGATGGGAGGAGAAGGGAGCAATGTGCATGAGCAGCCTGGCCTGGTGAAGATGACCCAAAGAATGACCAAGCCTGACAGGCCACCACAGTTTCATGATCCTATCCCAACCACGTCTCCGGAGTCCACACACGTGTAAGCTTCTCCCTCCCCTCCCCTCCCCTCCCCTCCCCTCCCCTCCCCTCCCCTCCCCTCCCCTCCCCTCCCCTCCCCTCCCCTCCCCTCCCCTCGCCCCTCACACCCCCTCCTCCGCCCCCCATCCGCAAATCCGCCCCGCATGCTCTACCACTGATGCCACCAGTGATGGAGGATAAGATCCCGCCTTGGGGGCGGCACGGCGGGGGGGGGCGGAAAAAGGGTGCGGGATGGGGGAAGGGGGGGTCCGTCGCGTCTGCTTTGCTGTGTCCGAGGACTTTCACGCGTAAGAAAGGTGGTGTCCCGACGAAATTGGTTGCTGTGAGTATGTGCTGCTGTGCTGACCGCGTAGTGTAGTAGGTAGGGTATTAGGTAGGGGAATGGTTGGGCCGAATCCCGACTCCGATCCGATAGGTTGGATGGGAAGATGGGAGAGCCACTGTCCTCTCAGCGGCACTCTGCCTCCCCAGTGCCTCCCCAGTGCCTCCTCCCAGACCCCGAACCTGCGTCCCCCTGCCCTGCCCTGCCTCCCCCCTGCCTCCTCTCGTCGACCGGACTCCCACTCCGCTCATTCTCTACAGTACTGTATCCGCTCAGAAAGAGAGAGTGTGGCTGGTGATGGTCTTGGGCCGCCGCGCGTGAACGGACTAAACCTGGGCCCTGTTCGGCAGGCGTTAAAAAGGCCGTTATATCAGGCTCGGGGACCGGCTGGGAACGTTCGGTTATCAAGGTTCGAGATAGGCGTTCTGCTGCCGAGCCTGAGGGCGTTAAAATGCCTGCCGAACGGCCCTTTAATTGCTGGTGTTTTTTGCAAAACGTTGGTTCCAGGAAATCACCTACACAGGCGAAAGAGCGGACCACTGATCCGCCCACTGGTGCGCCGTCGAGAGGTTGCACCATACGGCGGATTGGTGATGCGGCCAATCATACGCGGCTGGCTAAAAATGCAGACCAATCATGTGATTTTGCGAAGGTGCTGCGAAACTCACAACCTTTCCGTGCCGTTGTTTAACGCCCTCAACGCCGGCCGAACAGTATCCCAAATGATTTTCCGCAGTTGCTAAGCAATCACACATGACTTCGACGAGTTCTTCCAGTTCCGAGCCTGCGCAGCGGGTTCATAAAGCCCATAACGCCCATGACTGCTGCCGAACAGGGCCTTGAAGCACCGAAGGACAGTGCACGTATGGCTCCACTCCGATCTGACTCGGAATCCCACCCGCATCCGGACCTACTCGCATGGGGACACATCACTTTTTGTTGCGCTATTTTACCGAGGTTCGGAACAGGATCGGTAAGCACGCGGAGGTGGGACGGTTTGGGGGCTTTGGGCTCGGGAGGAATAATATTACTGTATACACGCTGCGGAACGGAACGGAATAGTATGGTCACAAAATGCTGTCCCCATGCGCGGTCAAGATACACGGGACCATCTAGCCGAGTGAGGCATCTGATTGGCGCAACGAACCCATGGCGTATCTGATGCCATGATCAAGGGGTGAGTGGGGGTTTGATGCTTCTAGTTGTTGGCCTTGGGATGGCATTAGGTTGCATGGATTATAAATTTATGAAACCATGCGCACATCCCAGCGGATACGGTACGGTGTTAATGTCGTGTCGTGTACTGCTGATCCCTCGCAACACAGACGTGGCGAACTCTATATCGGGTAACCGCGATGCGGCGAAGAACGGTTGGCAGCGCGACATCATGCTTCTGGCGAAAGGATGGCATGTTGTGACTGGCGCAACGGGCAGAAGAGGCGGAGTGTCGTCCTGGTGAATGGGGTGGGTGTAAGGAAAAAAGGACGTTCAATCAATACGCAGTCCTTGGTTTGAAAGTTGTTGCACATGCTGTTATCTCCGCTGGGTGGACCACCGGGCCAAAACGGGGTGCAGTAATCTCCTCCCACCCTCCCCTTCTTTCCCCCTCCTCCTCCCCCCTCCCCCTCCCCCCACCCCGCCCACCCAAGCCCCCCAACCCCTCCCCTTCCTTCCCACACATTCCTGGCCATAATCGCCCCTCTGTTTGTAAGATATTCCCCAATCGCAACTACAGAGCGTTGGATGGACATTGTGGCATGTCTAAAAGCATCGACCACTGTACTGTACTGTATGTCAGGGCGTCTGTCTGAACCGCGTAGGGTCAGAAACCGCGTCGGATAAACAAAACGGTGAACTGGTAGGCCAAAAACTGTACAGTATGACTTTTTCCCATTCGATACCGCGTTGAGAGGCGCGGACAATTGCTCACGTCATGCAGGTTCTGCCAGTGATAGTGTGCGATTGTATGCAATTGACGGTTTCGGAGGAAAGATGTCGGCCCGCCGCGTGTTTAGGGTTGAGGCTCCCTAGTCACATGCCATCCATCTGGGGTTTAGTTTTTCTGACCGCGGGCAGATAACGTTCCGTCAGATTTCTTCCAGGGGATTAACGTTGCATCCATTCACAAACCGCCCTGGCATAACTTGCATGTCTATGATGTTGGCCCGTGAGAGGCGAGACCGCCAGGTTAAGTTTTGGATCTTGATCGTACACGTGTACATAATTTATGTTTCTAGGAAGTCTCACGGCCACGTGGCACAGAGTGCCCGCAGAACAGTCGATGTGACGAGTGGCGATGGTAAGCGATGCGGGGACAGCAAAGCAATGAATTGTCACGCCTCGCCTCGCCACAAACCAACCATTCCTGTCGGTGTCGACCAGATGAAGAACCACAAGCCACTGGATCTACACTTTATGGAAAAATCACGCGACTCGACGGTTTTCGGATTTGTGTAAATCCTGTCAACCACTTGTGCACCACGTCAATCCGATCGACCGACCCTTTTACACTTGCGAGCTAGAAATTGTCACTCTGTCTCAAGTACAACTACTGCGTTAGGGTTTTATATTTTTCAATTCGTAGGTTTGTGGGTGGTAGATTCTGTCGCGTTATGCAGAGTAAGAATACGTGTATCAGTTGGTGCGATATACCTACAATGATTACGCTCTTCTGTTTGAACAAGGCGACGAGCAGAAACAGAGGTTGCATGGGAAATCATATAGAAAGTCACAATTATGCCCGTTTTATTGCGCTTGGTCAAAGGGGTGTTACAAACAGTCACCGTGCTATCACGGATGATCACACCTCCCACCGAAAAGCTATCACGTTTGGTCACTCAATGAAATGATCACAATCAAATTGAAACAACAAAAGAAATAGTGGCAATTTTGGGGAATCCCAACCTTGATTGCTTGTTACCTCGCGCATTATTCTAGCCCTGACATTTAGGGAACTGAAGAAAAAAAATAAACCCCTATTGGATGGCACGTCTTTCGGGAGGCATCAACCCTAAACACTATTCGACCAGGTGTTTGGGTTGATGCTCCCGAATTATATCCCATCCGAACAGGTTTTAGTTTTGTATTGGGAACAAATATTAATCATAGTATTTCACCCGTCTAAAAGTCTTAGACACAATGTACATCGATCGAACAGTGGACATTCGATAGTAAAGAAGAAATTGCAGATTTTTTTAACGAGTTACCGGAATTTGTCGCGAAACCTTTTCATGATACTACGGACAAAACGGCGCGCACGATAAAATTTTCCCTGAATCCCTATAGTGACTCGAGTAGCTACAATTCTCGAGTAGGCGTTTCATCTATGACCAAACGTGATAGACTTGCGGGGCAATGTGTGACTATCCGTGATAGCACTGTGATCAACACGATAGTTACGAGGTGTACTGTGACTGTTCATGATACCCCCGTGATAAATCGGGCCTAACTGTGACTACCTATATAATTTACCGAGGTGACATTGACTGCGGGAAGGACCAAATTGCAATATCTAAACCTCTACCTACACGACACCGGCCTATTTACTGTGCAGACATACAAAACGACAAAATGATATCATTCGGGAAGTTACAGAGCACTAGCCACACCATTCTCGAGAAAGTTACGTACCTTAAATGATACACCCACTCTCAACCGCGAAAATGTAAACCATGTCAAAATTAGAAGAAAGAAAGAGGATTGAACTAGCAAGAATGAGGATACAAATAGCAAACCCTATAAGGGTTGTACTCGCTATAGAGCACCCCACTACAGGCTAGAACAATAAGATAATATTCTGACAAACCATACCGCGTAAGCTATTGTAGGGTCGATCGGATTTTTGGAATTCAAAATAGTGCTGACGTGGTGCACGAGTGGTCGACAGGATTGACACAAATCCAAAAACCATCGAGTCGCGTGATTTTTCCGCACTTTATGCAAGCTTGGTTACTGTACTCTCTAAACCATCATGCGATACATGTATTGCTTAATCCGGATTAGAGCGTGGAACATCCTTATGAACAAGGCGTTGGTCTCCCAACTGCGACAATAACCCCTTTCTGTTTCCTGCCATTGAGCT